TTCTCATTCCGTGAAGGCCTTTCTCCCGCTCTTGACAGAGGGCTTCCATTGGGATTCGTTGGAAAATTGTAGTTCCCAAAGTATAATCTTCGCGTTGGATATCTCGGAGACAATCTAATCATGTAGTAGCTACATTATATGGCCACACATATCAACTAGTTGCGGATATTGCAATTGGATAATGAGTTGATATATGAAAGATCTAGATTTCCAGTCTATTATTTTCATCACCATATTAATGGGCATGACAAGTAAAAGCAAGCTTGTGTCGGCCAAATCAAACAGACAATCAAAGTACCATGAGCTAGAATGACAACCATGCACTAAAACGAAAATATAAAGTAGCGTGGGAGAGAAAAGGGTCTTTGTACTACTCCATACATGCATCCACACTAAGGACACAAGATAATTGAAATTAAGCTTATTAATAATTTTAAATACTATATATTAGGTATCTATCTTCGTAGTATTTTATTAATTAATGTGTTATATATATGTTTCAAGTATTTCATCATTTATATTGAGAAGTTTTAATTAACTGAAAAAAATTTCATATAGAGAAGACAATATAAGCTAATTATATACCCTAATGATACCAATTATCCATTAAATGAGTACATGGTTAATGAATTGAATGCTAATAAATCTAAAGTGAAATAAATAGATCGAGATCCGATAAATTAACATAAGGACTAAATTTTATAATAATCATGCTCGTGAAAGGTAATTGCATATAAATTAATCATCTTATAAAATTGGATAATCATGATGCTTTGCTAGAGATCAATTTTAATTTATGTATCATGAGATAAAAGAGATGTTTTTTTATTCTTAATACATTATCAACATATTTATAAATCTATTGAGTCACATACATAAGTTTAAACATTCACATAATAAAAGAGGAGCAAAAATTTTGGTAAAGATTTCTGTTTCGAAAATTTTTTGTTTTGAAAAAAGTTTTCTAAAATGAAAAATTTTCAATTTTGGAAAAATTTTCTAAAATGGAAAGTTTTCTATTTTAGAAATCAACTTTCTAATTTGAAAGTCGGTTCCAAATTTGAAAGCCGATTACCTAAAAAGGAAATTAGTTTCCTAATTTAGATATAAGAATAATTTGAAAATTTATTTTCTAACGTGGACCTCCTAAAAATATCGAACATAATTTATTTGGATGGTCCAAATTAATTGGGCCAATAGACTTGATTTAAAAGCTTGTAATGTATTCTAGTGGAAAGATAAACTTAAGCACTATTGGATAAGAATCGAGATTTATAAGGATAAAGTTAAATAAAGCTCACATTGGTAACATCTCCTTAACATACAAGGAGAGGTTGCCCCCCTTAAATAAATAACGGAGAGAGAGACAGCAATAGATGCAACAAAGAAAAGGAAAACACATAGAATAAGAAAAATAAATAGAGACAAATTAAACGTTCCTCTCCCCATTAAAAAGAGTTGTCGCATCTCTTCCTAAAAAACCAAAAGTTAGCGTAAATTATCTTATAGGATTTCTAAAGAAAATTAAACTACACAAAAGGATTAAAGCTAGCACTCTAGGATTGCTTCTTGTGCGGATGTTTAACTTGCGTGGATAATTAATAGAGACCGGACACTTAGACGGTTTCGTTTCTACTTAAATTATTTATGTGGTAAAAGAGATAATCTTTGACCCATATTTATATTCATGTTTATTATGTATGATTATTTGATTTGACGGCATGATCTTAGGAATTTTAGATAGAGAAAATTGTTTATTTATTTCACAATGCCATACGATGCTGATCCTTCATATACAACCATGAAGGTTATACACTTTTCTTTTTTTTAATGTATTTTATATGCTATAAGCACAACTAAAAAGTGTTTTATAGGTTCAAAGAAAGAAACAGAAAGAAAAATTCAATGAAAGACTAATTACTGGATTGATTCTTATTTATTATTGTTTTTGTTGTTGTTATTATTATTATTTTGATATAAAATAATGATTCTTATTGTTGTGTCATAAATATTACTATTTTTATGCACTTAATTACAATCTTCGATAGTATTAATTTGTTATTTGGATTTTATTGATTGGACCAGTTTTTTTCTTCTCCTTCCAAAATATAAGAAGAAAATAAAATGAATTGCATGCATAACAAATATTAAGTGATTGAATTTGTAACTGTGCAGATGTATTCGAAATCATCCACTTAAAAAAATAAAATATTCATCAAGTTATAATTGTGATGCACACTCCAACCATCGATCCCTTCTATAAATACAACATGGCCAAAGCTATCTAGTCATATCTAGCCTCAACCATCAAATTCAGTGTCTTTTTCTTTCTGTTTTACAACTAAGAGATGGCTCTTCAAGCCTCAGCCCAAAAAGCTCAATTTCGTCGAACGGCTGAATTCCATCCTTCAGTATGGGAGGATTACTTCATCAACAAGGTTTCTCAAGATGAGGGAAAGCAATTACTTATGCAAGTACAAAATCTTATTCTATCATCATTGTGTAGCAATGGATTGCAAGAAAGTGAAATATTATTTTATATAACAACGGAGATGAGGCTACTAGCAAGATTTTCTTCTTCTTCTTATGCGTGTGCACGCCTGTGTTCTTCATTTCATTACATCCTACCAAACATAACGCTGGCATTCAAGCCTTTAAACTAAATTTTTCCACGCGTGCATTCAGCTATACAATCTAATGATCTAGTAATTTTATTTTCACAGATGTTAGTGAGCAGTTGGACTGAGCAAGTTGAAGTGTTGAAAGAAGAAGTGAGCACATTGCTTAGAAATGCCACTGATGAACCATCCCAAAAATTGAACTTGATAGACGTTGTCCTTCGACTAGGCATTGGTTACCATTTTGAAGGAGAAATTAATGAAGCATTAGAACAAGCTTATAACACTTATCATGACCACAACTTTGAAGAGGACCTCTTTACTGCTGCTCTTCGATTTCGATTACTAAGAGAGTGTGGTTATGATGTTTCTAGCGGTAAGTCCTCCATTCCATATTCAATGAAAATAGAACTTCAGTTTATTGGCAGGAGCCGGAGGGAATACTTACATGAAATGGAATATTTGTATTAGGATATTAATTTTGAAATAATAATCCCTTAATTATGTCACGCGATTCTTTTATCTTACGACGGCCATGACCGCTGCACCTCCTAGATCCGTGTTGTCCATGAGAAACATTCCATTAGAAAATTACCTATAGAATCCATTATTTACCTATTGATATTTGCTATTACGCGGCCTTCTTGCGCGAGGAACAGATATATTCAACAAGTTCAAGGATGGCAATGGCAACTTCAACGAAAATCTTAAGGATGATGCAAAAGGATTACTAAGTTTATACGAAGCTTCGTTCCTTAGTGTTCATGGAGAAGATATACTTGATGAAGCTCTTTCTTTCTCCAAAATAGAACTGGAGTCCATCGTAACTAAATCGGCTTCTCCACTTGGTGATCAAGTAAGTCATGCTTTAAAGTGGCCTTTACACAGAGATGTACCAAAGCATGAGCAATGGCACTTCATTTCTCTATATCAGCGAGATGAGGCTCGCACAGACTCTGTTCTAAAGCTAGCAAAGTTGAATTTTAATATATTGCAAAAGTCGTACCAGAAAGAGCTAAAGATTCTCTCAGAGTAAGTTATAAATTCTTTAAGAAGAATTGCTTTCGGAGAAGATTACAAATTTAATTAACGTGGTGGGACATGTTTACGTATGAATTGTAGGTGGTGGATAGACTTGGATTTCGCAACGAAGCTACCGTTTGCTCGAGACAGAATAGTGGAGTGCTATTTTTGGGCATTAGGAGCATTCAGCGAGCCCGAATTTGTCCGTGCCAGGAGATTCCTAACTAAAATTGCAATCCTTGTATCCATAATTGATGACATATACGATGTTCACGGCAAAATGTGGGAGCTTGAGCTTTTCACTAAAATGATTGAGAGGTACTTTTTATTAGACTTGTTTGTCTGATGATCCTAAGAGTGCGAACCCTTACGTGTTAACAACTTCACTAATATTATAGTAATATGGATGGCGTTACTGATATTTTTTAGGTGGGACATTACTAGCGCGGAAGATGTGCCAGATTACATGAAATTATGTTTCAAGGCATTAATTGACATAATGAATGAAATTGAGGAAGAGACCACAAAGGAAGGGAGACCATACTGTGTACACTATACAAAAGAAGCGGTATTTCCTACGTTTAGTTTAAGTAGAAATTGTTCATATCTCCGATAAGAAACCAAACTGACCTCAAGTAATGGTGTCATAGGAAAAGAAGATAGTGAGGGCCTACCTTGCTGAAGCCAGATGGTTCAACGAAGATAATGTTCCAAAACTGGAAGAATATAGGCGTGTTGGACTGTATACCTCTGCTAATCCCCTTCTCTCGGTCACTTCCTTAAGCGGGATGGGAAAAATAGCTTCTAAAGAGGTTTTTGAATGGCTGTCCAGTTGTCCTAAAATTCTATTGGCCTCATCCGATATTGGCAGGCTCGTGGATGATATTGCATCCCATGAGGTACGACAACCTCGTTGAGTAGCATTTCTAAATTCTCTCTTTTCCTTCATGGCCTGAAAATTCTTGACACTAACTTGTGTGATTCTAATGCAGTTTGAGCAACAAAGAGGACATGTTGCTTCATCAGTTGAGTGCTGCATGAAACAATATGGTGTTTCAAAGGAAGAAGCACGTGACAAGTTGAGAAAAATTGTTGAAAGTGCTTGGAAAGACATGAATGAGGACCTTCTCAAATCAACTGATGCTCCCAAGCGAATTCTGACAGTTTTTCTTAATCTAGCTCGCGTGATGTATGTTATGTACAAGGATGATCATGATGGTTATACAGTAGCGAACTCTTTTGTAAAGGAAATGCTGACTGCTTTGCTCGTGAATCCCCTGCCAATCTAAGCCTGCAGCTGTTGCCTCGTGTTAAAAAAAAAATAAAAAAAAGAAGAAGTTAATTTGCGTAAATAATAAGGGGATTTGACACAGGAGTGTATGTCCGAGACCAAGAAGTCAAAGGTCCAAAGCCAATTGGACATGAAGGTGTGGAGATCGAGCTTGGATGTACATTAAGGTTGATTCATTCAAGTTCAGTGGACCTAAACTTTCAGCCTTAAGATAAATTTGGTTTTAGTTATTTTATTAAGTCTTAATTTTTTTAGAATTCCTATTTTATTTGGAATTATTTTGTATTTATTATGTTTTAGATTTGGGCTAAATTAATCAATCCTTATTGAATTTATATTGATGTTTTTATCAGTGGTGGTCGACTAACCCTAGATAAGGTTTGGAATCCATACTTGTCATGTATTCATATTTGTTTTGGATTAAGATTGAATGTATCCTTGTCTAGTGTGGATAAGTGGAGGCTAAGTATTTTCTCCAATTTTTTAGGAGATATAGTCACACCTTCGTATGTCTTATATGTCTATGTATTTAAATGTACTTATGTGTTATGGAAAGTCAAGTTTTGTTGAATAAAATTGTATGAGAAGTATTTCTCTTTTGGCATTTTTCTTGTGCTTTTCTTAGGATCGGTACAATTGTATCCTTGACTTGGTCAATTAAGGTGGTAAATTTAATCATTCATGCTAAACCTTGTGCTCGTTTAGGTTTAAGTACGTGTTCCTTTCCTTACTAAAATTGTAGTGGAGTCTTGGACTTGTGTTATAATCGACAAATGTATTATTTATCCTTATAAGTCTTGATATCTACATAGTTAGGCCTAAAATTCATTTTATTTTGAATGAATTGAATTTAGTTTGTTTGAGTTTGTGGAGTTAGATTTAGAATTATTTGTTGCTTAATAGTTTTGGATTTGTCGAATTTAATCGAGCAAGGTTTTCTCGCTTTAACATACCTTGGCCTAACTTGTTTACCCTTAGTGGATTGTGGATTGGAACTTGTTTAACTTGGTTACAAGTTATATTTGAGTTTCAACAACCTTGTTTTAGGAGAGCTAGGTTCCAACCTTGTTTTAAAATTAGGGTTTGGTGATTGTTTGTGTTGATTTGAATTTTATACGTTATTGTGGATTGATTTGTGGTTTGGATACGGTGTTAATAGGTGTTTGAGTTGTGGACATTGTTGAATTGTTGATTGTTAGTTCAACTTAGAGTTTGTGTTTGTTTGCTTTAGCTTTGGCATTGTCTTCACATGATCTATTTCAACTTGATATTAGAGATGAGGTGAGCTTTTACATGTGTGATTTACGAAATGGTGTGAAGATACGTCTAAGAAGACAACCAATTTGTATATCCATGACATACTGTGTGAGAATGAGCACTTGCGATAAGAAGTCGAGGAACTTAAGTGGGGCACTCGTGAGGCAAAAAGTGGCTAAGAATCCATGAGTGATGAGGAGCTCTAAGGTGAAAACCTTTTTCATCACCTACTAGTCAAATCTTTTGAGGAAAAGAAGGTTACATCACATCATGATGAAATACAATTGAAAGAGTCATGACACCAAACTTTAGTGTCAAGGTGGAGATTCTCGACTTAATTTGAGGATATATTTAATTTGAATGACTTCGTCCAGTGGTTACACATGGTAGAGAGAGTGTTTGATTTCAAAGATGTACTTGGATGAAAAAAAAGGTCAAGATTATGATCATTAAGTCGAAGAAGAATGCTTCGATGTAGTGAGAGAATTTGAAGAACTAGAAAAGTTGTGAGGGAAAAAATAAGATCAATTCATGGGAGAAGAAGAAGAAGGCTATAAGAAGTAATTATTTTTTTTAAGGTTTAACCTATAATTGATCCTCGCACAATTTTATTTTTTTTATTGAAATCCTCTATTATTTTTCTGTTTGATTGAAATCCTCTATTCTTATAAATTTATTGATTAAGACTCTCTGTTATAACACCGTTAACTATTTATTCTATGTAGCAACTTAAAACTAACGAGTAGCCGATCATATAAAGACACGTGGCAATGTGGACCCTAATCGTTTCAATATAAATCAAGGTTTTTTTTTCTTTTTTTGTTACGGATACATGCTCTGCTTGTGTTAATTATATGTTCTTCCTTTTTCTTCCTTTGAATGTCATGTGAAGGCCATGTTAAGCGGGGTGGTTAGCACATAATTGTTGAAGAATCTAGTTACATATATAGGTCCAGGTGATAAGATGCTTGAAAGATGAGAATCGCTGGACATATTTATGTTGAGATGGAAGATATGGCCGAAACACTAGGGAAAATAGGAGTATTTTAGAGAGAGAGATTGGAAAGTTAGTCATTCATAGGAAATGAGCAACGGGTCTTCAAACATGCCCGAGAGGCAACATGATACAAGTAATGATCCGAGGTCAATTAATGGAATGCTAATGTATCCCCTCTCTCATCCTATTTATTCGACTTTGTTAACTTATGGGATCGGCATCAATTGAAAGACCGGGATGATAATATTAAGATGGGTGGTGTCAATGGGTTGGGCACGGAGCCAAAGAGGTGATAAAGAGAACCCAATTGGAAGCCTCTTAAATGGACCAACCCTAGAAGCTTCTCTTCTCGAGGGTCTAGTTTTAGTCATTCAAGTAGTTCAAAGAGCCTTGATGGTACAAATTCTAATGAAGGAAAGGATGAGTTGTAGGAGAAGAATGATACTTTAATCCAATCTCCTTCGGGGGACATTGTTGCTCGTGCTATTTCTACAACACCATCTAAACGGATGTCTTTGAGGAAGGCTTGCCTTGGGTAAGGTTAGGAGTCGGCAAAGTATGAGAAGAAGAAAGTTTTAGTTTTGTTATGACATTGTCATATGTTTTTGTATGATTGGTTATAATTAGTTTAACTTATCACGTAGGATGAATAGTTAATGGCATTATAATGAAAGGTCTCAATCAATAAATTTATAAAAGTAGAGGTTTTAATCAAGTCGAAAAATAATAAAGGGTCTCAATAAAAAAAATAGAATTGTATAGGAACCAATTATGAGGTAACCCATTTTTTTTACTACTATTGGCAAGATATTTTTATGTGTCCGTTAATAAAATTTATAACCAAATAAAAGAGTTTTATGTAATAGACACAATTATTGAGGGAAAAAAACTTGTTGACATGGCATTAAAATACAAGAGGAATAATACTGCTATGACATTTCAAATTAAAAGAGAAACTATTAAATGAAACACATTTAGTGTGTGTGTGTAGAGAGAGAGAGAGAGAGGGGAGAGGGAAAGGGAGCGAGAGAGGGGGAGAGAGATAGGGAGGAAGCTAGGGAAAGAAAAAATAAAGAGAAAGAAAAAGAGGTATTAGATGCTAGCTATCATTGATTTGAATTACAAATTATAAATTCAAATCAAATATAATCATTATCATTGATTTGAATTATAAATTATAAATTCAAATAAAATATAATCATTAATTTGAATTTTGATTTGTATATCAAATTCAAATGTAATCATTGATTTAAATTACAAATCATAAATTCAAATCAATGATAATTTAAATTCTTAGGAGATTAGTTTCTTACTAATTCATCACTATATATATTGCATATGTTGCGTCAAAAAAAGTAATGTGTGAAATTCACACCATTTTAATATTTTAACATGGTAGCAGAGCATCTTTTTCTCTTTATTATGTCTAATTTAATATTTCACTATTTTCCCTCTAATGTCCAATAACTCGGGAAATCCATCGTGTGGCAATCGTCCACTATGTCCATACTTAGGTTACTACTAGATATGTGGTATTCAAAAACACACAACTAAATAATATCCATCATTCCGAGTTAGTGCCAATTCAACCATCAAACATAAGATATGTGCCACCATCCAACACTCCGCCAACACATTGGTAGTCTTGTGCTCATTCTAATACTAATGTTGTCTCCAACAACCAAAAATGGTTGCTTGATAGTGGTGCTTCTCATCATCTCCAATCAACACTCCACCAACACTTGAGTAACTTATTACGATATGTACCTTATAATAGCTCTAACAATATTATGATTAGAGATAGCACGGCTCTTTCAATTACTCATGCTAGTTCCATTTCTCTTTCCCTTTATAAAACTACATTTACATTGAGTGATGTACTTTTATTTCCCAAATATGAAAACAAACTTAATTTTAGTTTCTCAATTTTACAATACCAATAATGTAATTTAGTCAATTCTAACCAAAGTTAATCAAGTGAAGGATCTTTGCACAAGGGAAATTCTTTTACGAGGCAACACTAAGTATGAAGTGTATCGGTGGTCAACTACTAAGTCGGTGTCCCCCCAATTCTTGCCTTTTCTAGTACCAAAGCTTTAAACTAGCATAATAGAATAGGTCACCCGAGTCTTTTCTATTTTAAAGCATATTATCTTTACTTATGATTTGGTTGGGTCATCTCCTATGACAAAATTTTTCATATAATGCATGCCAATGTCATAAAAATCATAAGTTATCATTTTTTACTTCCTCTCTTGTCTCCTCCCAATCCCTTGAAATTATCTTTCCCGATGTCTAGGCTTTTTTGTTATTTCGCATGATGATTTCAAATATTATGTCACTTTTGTGGATAATTTGACCATATATATATATATATATATATATGGATTTATCCATTAAAGCAAAAATCTAAAGTTAAAGCAATTTTTATTTGATTCCAACCTATTGTAGAAATTTATTTTAAACACAAAATTCATACATACACTTTATTTAGAAAATAGAGGAGAATATTTGACATTAAAAGATTATTTAACAACATCCGACATTTCTCATCTCACCATCCCACTCGCATACAACTGAACTTAATGGATTCTCTAAAGAATGACATTGTCACATTGTTGAAACTAGCCTCATATTACTCTCTCATGCTTCTCTTTCTTTAACATTTTGGTCACATGCATTTGTTATAACTCGCTTATTTAATTATAGAATATATACCACCATACTTAATCTATCATTCTCTTATGAATTAATTTTTGGTATAACTCCTACCTATTCTAAACTTAGGATCTATAGGTGTTTGTGCTATCCTTATCTTCAGCCATACTCATCCTGAAACTTGATCCACAATCTAAACCTTGTGTCTTTCTTGGTTATTCATTATCTTAGAAAGATTATTTGTTCTTTATCCATCCACTAATAAAATCTATGTTTCTCTTCATTTTCAATTTGTAGAATTATTTTTTCCTTATGCATCACTCCATGTTAATTTACCTTGTTTTGATTCCAACACTATTGAAACTTAGATTCCTCTAATTCTCACTATCTCATTTCCCACTCCTTTGCATTTGATACCTTAACCTCTATTTGATGTGTGCCTTAAGAATTGACATCAAGCATTGATCATTCATATGAACGTCTTGCATCCACATCCCAACTGTCCCAAATCCACCACCTTCAAACCAGTGTACCATCGAACTAATACAACAACCAAATATACACCCATACCTACCACTTCCAAACCAACATAGCATGATTACTCGGGCTAAAAACAAAATCAACAAGCCACTACAAAAACTCGGTCTTCATACTCACATTCATTACACCAACAACAATATTAAACCTACAACTATGAACCAAGCACTCAAAGACCCTAATTTGAAAAAAGCCATATATGAAGAGTATGATGCTTTAGTCCATAATGAAACATGGAAGCTAGTTCCACCTACTTCCGCTTCTAATATATATTGTTAGGTGAAAATGGATTTATCATATTAAAAGACATTATGATGGCCATGTTCGTAGGTTTAAAGCTTGACTTGTTGCCAAAAGGTTTAATCAAAGAGTTGATTTGGAATATCATGACACATTCAATCTCGTCATTAAACCAACTACTATGAGACCTTTTTCTTAACATTGCTATCGGGAATGATTGGTCTCTTAGGCAACTCGGATGTTAACAATGTCTTCCTTTAATGTTGACTTTTTAAAGATGTTTATGTGACATAACCTCCGAGCTTTATTGATTCGACCATCCTATATATATCTATAAGCTTTGCAAAAGCTATCGATGGCCTCAAGCATGCACTACAAGCTTGGTAACTTGAGCTCCGATACTACCTTATTGATACTAATTTCAAGAACTCTCACGTTGACACCTCCTTATTTCTCTTTAATGATGCTACTCATTTGCTCTGTTTACTTATCTATGTTGATGAGATTATCATTATAGGTGATTCTCCAACCACTATTACTCTATTTATTAATATTCTTTCTCAATCATTTTCTCTCAAAGATCTTAAGCTCTTCTCATAGTTTCTTAGGGTTAAAATGGCTCCTCATAAACATGGTACTCTATTGTCCCAATAACAATATCCTTGGTCTTCTCACTCGAAAAAATATGATGGGTGTCAAACCCGTTGTCACTTCATTACCTACTACTTCAACTCTTACTTTACACTCGGGCACTCCACTTTTTGATCCCACCTGAATATCTCGTATTGTTGTTCAAAGTCTCCGGTATCTATTACTCACTCATCCATACATATCTTATACGATTAACTAAACGTCACGGTTTATGCCCAAACCATCAACAAAACATTAGACACTAATCAAGCATTTTCTATGCTATCTATATATATGGTATTTCGGATGAAGGAATTCTACTCTATCGTGATTCTCCATTATCTCTTCATGCCTTCTCGGATGCGGATTAGACTAGAAACAAAGATGATTTCTCCTTTACTTGTGCATGCATTATTTATGTTAGTTATAATCCTATCTCTTAGAGTTCGAAGAAACAAAACATTATTGCTCACTTTTCTACGAAGCTGAATTTCGCTCCGTAGCTGCTACTACTATTAAACTAATTTGGGTGTGTTATCTTTTATCCGATCTTGGTCTTACTATTTCTAATGCCCTTGTTAATTATTGTGATAATATCAATGCAACTCAATTGTGTTCCAATCCTATCTTCCACTTAAGAATAAAGCATGTTGCCATTGATTTTCATTTTATTTGAGATCTAATGCAAAAGGGTGCCTTTCGTGTATCTCATGTCTCCTCTACTCGTTTAGTTTGTTGATGCACTTACAAAGTCATTATTTTGTTCTCAATTCTAGTCTCTCAAAGTCAAGATTAATCTCTCTTCTCATGGCTTATCTAGAGGAGGCATATTAGGTAATAGCTATCATTGATTTAAATTATAAATTCAAATTAAATATAATTATTATCATTGATTTGAATTTCAAATATCAAATTCAAATAAAATGTAATCATTAATTTAAATTTTGATTTGTAATTCAAATTCTTAGAAGATTAGTTTCTTATCAATTCGCCATTATATATATTGTATATGTTTCATGGATAAAAATAATGTGTGCAATTCACACCACTTCAATATTTTAGCATGAGGGAGAGAGAGAGAGAGAGATTAAGGGAGTGAGTCGATAAGCTTCTATTTTTATATGCCACGATGCAATTACATATATCAATTTTTTTAAGATACACGTATACCACAACCTATCATTTTAAGTTATATTTTCATTTAAAAGAAAAACTTATAGAACTCATTATATTTTCATTGTGGATGAAAGTTTTATTTTGTAGCTTTCACCTTTCTCTTGAAATGTAGTTGTTGGAGGAGATATTGCTCTTGTAACAAATCTGCAATCTATTTTCTATTATAACTATGAGTTCGATATTTCTTTCTAATGTATTATTTTGTCACTTGAGAATTTTTCATTGTTATTTTACTAGGTTTAGTAAAAAAAAAATGCATATAATTGTCAAATTTTAACAAATTTATTTAACTAAAGGGTATGCAAAAGTAATATTGAAACTCAATGTTGAAAATGGTTGATCTATTTTTCTTTACAATAATATGATTTAATATCTTTAAAAATCATAAAGCTAACTTTTATTTTAATTTATTTCGTCCGATAGATTGGATCTTCTATGAATTTCACCTGTCCAAGCTTTGACACCGGAGACAAAGACTGCTGACAATAGAAAGTGACACAGACCCAGATTTCTCAGTTGTGACTCCATGGCTTGTTTTTTGAGGTTCCCAAATGTCCAAAAAGCCAAAAACCAGGAGATTTTACACAGATAGCGATTTTTATTAGTACATGTTTATAGGTAAAGCATTGAATCACTTTCTTTTTTGGCTTTGTCAAAGCTTCTCTACTAATGAGTCTTACTGAATTGCAATATTTTCAATTTTTCTTTATATAAAAGGAAATTGTTAGCAATATATATATATATATATATAAAAAGTTTTTAGGAGTTAAATTTAAGGTTAAATCAATTAAAAAATAGAATGAAATCTTAAATTTAGTGTTTTTAATTAGTGACAATTAGTAGATAACAATTAGTAATCTTTTGTTTCAATTACTTAATTAAACTAATTTCGAGCTTTCATGTTTTTTTTTTTTTCAGCGTGTGAGTCAAAACTTTCACGTGGCAAATGTCGTCGAACACGTCAATAAAAATTAGTGTCGTAGCAAAGTTGGACACTGGGGGGGGGGTTGGGGTGTCGGCAAAAGTTTAGGCTGTAACTCTATGGTTTTGATTGGATTATGCAATTTCCCTTTTGGTTCTTCCGTACAAGCTAGCCCCATCTTCTTAATTGGAAATCAAAATCCATCAATTTGTCTTTTCTTATCTCAAGAAAGAAACAAAAAACTTTAGCTAACCATCCAACATGAGATTCAACGAATGAAATGTTGTTCTTTAACTTCATCAGCAGAAGCAATTGCTATCAACCAAGACCTTTTTACCGAAATCTTGCTACCTCTACCTGCAAAACCACTCCTCTTTTGCTTAACTACGGCTATACTTCCGCTACTAAATTCCAAATCGTCCCACTGAAAAACGATCCGCTGCCCATCAAACTCCTCTTTCTGGACTATCTAAATATTCCTCGTATCTTAATATATCAGTCTTGTAATGGGTTCCTCTTTTGACAAACTCAAGTGACCAAACTAAATTTTTTGACAAACTCAAGCGACCAAAACTTCTTAACTGCTACATGTTCAATACTCGAGGCCTATTATTTCCTATGGTTTTGATCAGAATGCAGAGTACTACGTTACAAAAACTGAGAAGATTTTTTCAACAGGATGTTCATGTACCTCTGAAGTCTGAATACAAGCATGGTTCTCGCTGGACAGAGGATCCTTAAAGAGCTGTGAATAAGTTCTGTAGGCCTCTGACTTCAGTTAATGGTTGCCCGCAAAATGTTGAGGAATTTCTCACCAAAGTTCTAACTGAGGCTAGCCGGCGGAAGGCTTCACCGTGGGATGCTTCATATCGGTGCCAGACTCCTAAATTCACAGGTTATGATGGCTACACTGATGGCTATGACGAGCACAATGGTTTCCACAATAAAGACTTGCTAAAGCCCAATGGTAATGCACATTGGAATGACAATTACGATGATTATTACCATAAACAAGGTAGCAACATGAAACCAAACATGATCACTAGTGGTGGATGGGAAAGGCCAAGTCATTCAACATGGGTAGCAACACCTAATGCTTCCCTCTCTGGAGCAACAAATGATATCAGTGCAGCTGTAGGGTTACTGAAAGAAGTTGCAAAACCTTGTGTCACTACTACTCCACAATCCCGGTATAGAGAACCAGCCTATACAGATTACAGCAAAGAAGCTGCAAATCGATATAGCAACTTCAATGTTTCATACAGACCATATGCAAGAGATGATAGTTACACATCAATCATTGACAGCAGAGAGGCTGCAAGGAAATATAGTGGCTTAGCAGTGTTAAATCCAAATCCAGAATGATTAACTATGTCTATGAGCAATTGATCAGGTCTTCTACAGCTTCCTGAGATGACTTTACAATTTTCTTGGGGCTGGCTGATTATCTACTCTACAAGTGTCTACTTAGCCTTCCATTTATCTAGAATAATTAATCTGGTGTTGCAGCTAAGTTGTCCTAGACATGTGTTTCATGTTTGCTATATCACTACTTCATGAATAAGCTTTCTCTGTAAACAGTTGCGATAAATTAATGTAAAATTTCTTGTTTTATTTGACGGCTATTTCACTAATTCCTCATGTATCTATAACCATCGTTTTGCTTTCAAACATATAACAAAAGACTATCAAGTTACTCTCCGCATATTCAAGCGTTGTTAATCTGATATATATATATCACAAGATGGTACAACCAGCAGACTGCAGATTCCAATTCTGAACCCTGTAATCATAGACCTGCAGAGGAGCTACCAATAGGCCTGATGCTATTAATCCTGCACCAAGGAGGCCTGGAAGATTTGATTGCAAAATTATGTTAGGTATTCCAGATGAGAATGCCAGAGCTGAGATTCTTTTGGTTCTGACACGAAAATGTGTACTAGAGGGTTCTCTCGATCTCCTGCAATTAGCCAAGTCCACACCAGGTTTCACTGGAGCTGATTTAGATGCCCTGGTTGATAAGGCTGGTACTCTTGCAGTGGACAGAACTGCTAACAGGGAGAGTCTGATTTATCCTGAGAACATACAGATTTGCAGCACAATCTGCAGCGGCGGAAGATACTTTGGCAGCCTGCAGACGTTGAAAATCTTGCCATCACCGTGTCTGATTTTGAGGTTATGTATCCACAACTACTTTAACTTTTTGCATAGCTACATCCATTTGGAAGCAATACTGTGGTTATATATTTGCTGATCTCATTATATTCAATTCAGCCCTTTTGGTTTCACAACTGTGGCCTTTGCCATATTTGTCACTGAGGGCTGCTATTAGAACCAATCATGTGATTCAATAAGGTTACCCTAGTAGAAATTTAGAGGAGGTTGATGTTGGCGTGCTTCCATCTTTACTTTTACTTTGTCCTGTTTTAGAAGACCTGTAATGGATGTATTAAGCTGGTTTTAGTTGATTGGTTTGCTGAACAAGATGCTGCAACTTTCTATCTGCAGGAGGCAGCTAAAGTGATTCAGCCATCATTGAGAAGAGAGGGATTCCCTTCCATTCCTATGTGAAGTGGGACGATTTAGGCGAGCTTGATTCTATAAGAAAGGAGTTTGACCTTTACCTAATTCAGCGTATTTAAAATCCCAAGCTCGATCAGGTGAAAAGTAGCTTGAATTTGCATTTTAATATCTGCACATTTACACATGCTGTAATGGCTTGAGGCATCTCTTTGAAAATTTAACCACAATATATTTCTTCCTTGAAAAATATAAAGTTAATGGAATGATTTGGTAATTCTGGGAATTATCTATGTTTTCAGGAACTAGATTTTTGCTTTAAGGTCCTCTAGGCTGTGATAAAACCCTTATTGCCCAAGCTGTTGCTAGCGAAGCAGGAGGTCCTTTCATTCATATCAAGGTCAGTTCTTTGGCTTCAGTTTTTTCTAACCAGGCTTTGTCCAGAACATATCCAACTCAAATTAGCTGTCAAAAGTTCTATGGAGGTCAGAGTCCTGCACTACTAAGAAAATACGTTGGAGACAGTGAACAAGAAGTTCGGACGTTATTCCATCGTGCAAGGTCATGTCCTCCTTGCATACTTTTCTTTGACGAGGTTTGTGGGCTCTTGCTTCCTTGTTGCATATTCATGATCAATGTCATAATTACTTAAACTGACATATCAGAGATCTGTTTAGCAAAGATAGATTACCAAATTAATGCGTGAAGTTGTGATGAATAGTCAATTGCCCTATTGCATCCACCAAATTAACGAGTTGTTTTGGAGTTAAATCAGCGATCGGATGTTTATGCAATTGGTGCTTTCTAATAGTTATAATACAACTCATTCTGCTTTCGTTGTCTTTCTTGTTGTCTTTGCTGGCAGACTTGAGGTGATGGATCCTGCTGTCTTACGGCCGCATAGATTCTGCAAACATATTTATGTCCCTCTTCCAAGCCCAGATAAGCATGGATTGATCTTAAAAACTCTAGCCAACGGACAGCCTACTGATGCAAGTATCGGTTTGAGTGTCATTGGAAGAACGGAGGCTTGTGAAAATTTTGGTGGGGCTGATCTTACTCATCTGGTTAATTTGTTTACCTTTCCTAACAATCTGTTTTTTGCATACTAGAGCTCGAATGCCCTCTAAACTTTCTGTAATTTTTCTCATTTCCCGTTTGTATAAGTTTATCTGAAATGAATTTGCATAACAAATAGATAACGCACAAATGGCTGCTTTTGAGGCTGCAAATGAGAACAGTTCTGAAGAGACTGAATTCTCGATTAAGTCAATCCATTTTGAGCGAGCACTGTCCGAAATTTCTTCATCTTGTAAGCCAAGGTATATGGTCAAATCTTTTTATTTTTAAGGAGGGCATTGTTTTTGCTGTTTCACAGAGTACTTGATGATAAATGATCCATTCTTTATATGGAATCAAATTTCACCTTTTTTTTTTTTTTTTTTTTTTTAATTTAGGAAGCAGCAATTTAGAATTGCCAAACTTTTGGTCAAAGATCTTCAAAGCAGCTCGAGGGTCAAGTTGGTGTTTGATGTGCCATTATTAAAAAACCTAAAATAAAACCATATTTACTATTCATGTCACTATTTGAGTTATTATTCATACACTCATAAATCATTATTTCTTTCACTATTTATGTCATTTTTATAACACTTTGATCCTCAATTTTTTATACTTTTTTTTTCAATTTCAAAATTTAATTGTATTGTGATTAATCCCATTTTATTTTAATATTTTTTTAATTATTTTTATTATTTAAAATTAACTATTTTAATTTGTCCTTTTTTTAAACTCTTTTTTTTTATTTCAAACTTTAATTTGTTAATTATTTTTATTATTTAAAAATTTACTACTTTAATTTGTCATTTTTTTTAAATTCTCATCCAATTAATTTAAAATTATATTTACGGACGAGTTTTGATTTATTTTTCTATATGGATGGATTTTGAAATAAATTTTTAGAACATGATTATTTTTTATTTTGAAAAATAGATTTAGATAATTTTTAAATTATAGTGGAATGATTAATATACATAATTTTTTAAAAATAAAATTTTAGAAATTGTATTCCAAATAATTTTTTCTTGATTTTTTTGATATTATTTAAAATTGACTACGTTAATTTATCATATTTTAATTGTAAACTTTAATTATATTGTGATTTAGTCTATTTTGTTTTAGTTTTTTTTTTTAGTTTAATTATTTTTATTACTTAAAATTTACTACTTTAATTTATTATTATTTTTAATTCTTATTCAATTAATTTAAAATTATATATATTGACGAGTTTCGCTTTATTTTTTTATATGTATGGATTTTGGAATAAATTCTTAGAACATGAATTTTTTTTTTGAAATACAGATTTAGATAATTTTAAATTAATATATATTATTTTTTTGAAATACATTTTCAGATTAAAAGTGGATTTCAAATAATTTTTTCTCAATTTTCTTATATTATTTAAAATTTACTACATTAATTTGTCATTTTTTTAAATTCTTTTTTTTTTAATTTTAAACTATGATTATATTGTGATTTGGTCTCATTTTGTTTTAATGTTTTTTGTTAATTATTTTTATTATTTAAAATTTACTACTTTAATTTGTTATTTTTTTTTAAATTCTCATCCAATTAATTTAAAATTATATTTAAAGATAGTTTTGATTTATTTTTCTATATGTATGAATTTTGGAATAAATTTTTAGAACATGATTATTTTTTCTTTGAAAAATATATTTAGATAATTTTTAAATTATAGTGGCATGATTAATATATATAATTTATCTAAAATACATTTTTAGATTAAAAGTGTGTTTTAAATAATTTTTTCTTATTTTTTTTAGAAAAAGCTCAAATTAATTAATTAATAGTTGAAAGTAAAATGTGAAAACTAAAAAGAAGATGGTTGCTCTGTGTGTGAGACTTGTATTAAAGGACTAGCCAGTATGCATAGAAATAAAAAAAAATTAAGAAAGAGGAAAAAAAGAATTCACATATTTTCTTAATTTGTTTCTTCTTTATATAATTAAAATTAATCGAAATTAAATTTGTATTAATTTTTATTTTAGCCTATTAACTTCAAATTTAGTCAATAGATTCCTTGCAAGTTAATTATTTTTTATAGTATTTTTTGTTTTAGACTGAAAAGTCCGAACTCACTTAGTATAGTTATGATGTATAAAAAAATATTGAATCATTATTTTTTTAGAAATTAACTGTGCAACTACTACTACACTAAGTATTTACTGTTTATTTATTTATGTTTGAATATTTTAAAATTAAATTATTTTAAAATAAATAATTAAAATTATGTTTTGGCTTAACCACTCAATGATTCAAATTAATATATTTTTTATTTTAATATTATTCATTCTTTTGTAAATAAATATATACAAATTAAATTCATATTTTTAAAAAAAATCGATATTCTCATTAACAATAAATAAAAAAATAATTTATTTAACTCCGTGTAAGCTTTTAATAATTGTTATTTATGTTTTTCGACACAATCTTATAAAATACTAAAGTTTTTTTAAAAAATATATTTAATTTTCTTTTTAGATAATACTCCATGGATTAACAATGATAAATCTTTTTTCTAAAGGAATAATTATGAAAAACACAAATAAGAAATAGTTAAATACAAAAATTTTTATTAAAAAATTATAAATTATTTTTTTCAGTTTTGATTTCATATATTTTTATAGATTCATATCATAAAATAAACTATCAAACTGAAATGATTTTTTTAAATAATTTTATATATTTTATTCAACCCTCAGCATAATACGGGCAAAAAAAATTAGTATAGTGCTATTACAGATGTCAAATTTTCTTGAATACATGTACGTACCATTATTATAGGGAAAACTCTGTATAACCACAAGCTATCATTTTTAGTGATATTTTCATTTTAAGGGGAAGGTTGTAAAAATCACGGAAAATTTTCAAAAGTAAAGAGGACAAAATGTTACTAAAAATGTCAATAGTTACTATTTTGGTTATCCAATTTGTTTTCATTCAATTATATTCAATTTTCATATTTATTTACATTTTAATATGCATATAAAAAGTTACATTTCCAGTGAAAGTATTTTCATTATGGATGAAAATTATCTCGTAGCTTTCACATTTCTCTTGGAATTGAGTTGCAGGAGGACATTGTTCTTGTAATAAAAATGCCCTCTATTTTTTATTATAATTCTGAGTTTGTTACTTATTGAGTTATTTCTAATATATCATTCAACTACTTAAAAATTGTATATTGCTATTTTACTAGCTTTAGTAATATATATATATATATATATATATATATATATATATATATATATATATATATATATATATATATATATATATATATAACTAAAGAAATGCAAAAAGGAACAATGAAACTCAATGTTGCAAATATTTAATTTATTTTTCTTTATAATAACATGATTTAACATCTTTGAGAACCATAAAAATAATTATTTTTTTTCCTTGATCGATAGGATTTTGCAGTTTATAATCAAAGATTAGATAGTTAGCATGACAGACTGAATTAATTATTGCAAAAATAAAAACCTGCTCTAATTTTTATTTTAATAATATTTTTTTAAGGCAGAAAAAACAAAAGAACTGCCTGTAATTAAGTCGGGCCCATTAATGTTTACTCGCAATTGTTTTTGCAAGAAGAACTGGGCTTGACAAGATGCTTCTCATTTTGTAATTAGGGTCGGCCCATTATAGTTTTATTTCTAAATGTTGGGCTTCAAAAGAAAATACGGTCCATTGATTTGTGTAAAAGGGTGGAAGCAGAGAAAGAAGACAGTACTGAAGAGAGAGAGAGAGAGAGAGAGTTGAGCAGGTTTGGCTTCATTCATCTTCGATTTTCAAAGGAAGTGAAGAGCACTGATTATGTTGATGATTATGCGGAAAAGAACTTTTAGAGCTTCTTCTTCTTCTTCTTCTGTTTCTGCTTTTCAGCTTCAACAACAACAAATTCAAATGGTTATTTCTATTTCTTTTCCTAATTTCCTTTCTTTCTTATTCTTCAATCATCGCCACATTACTACTACTGCTTTTACCAACAGACCTTCTTTGCCTGAAAAAGATGGTGGGTTTCTTACTACTAATAGCAATAACAACAATTGTACTGATGTCGATGCCTTGGCTTCTTTTAATCACATGGTTCGCATGAATCCTAGGCCTTCTGTTGTGGAATTTGGCAAATTCTTAGGGTCCATTGCCAGAAAGAAACAGTATTCCATTGTTGTTTCTTTGTGCAATGAAATGGATTTGTTTGGAGTTACCCACACTGTTTATTCTTTAAATATACTCATTAACTGCCTTTGCCGCATCAATCGTGTTGATTTTGCTGTCTCTGTCTTGGGTAGAATGTTCAAACTTGGCATTGAACCTGATGTTATCACATTCAATACACTACTTAATGGGTTCTGCACTGAGGGGAAGATCAAACAGGCTGTAGGATTGCTTCATGAGATGGTAGAGAGAGGGCATGAGCCTAATGTAATTAGCTATAGTACTGTAATAAATGGTTTGTGCAAAATTGGCAGCACAAGTATTGCTGTTCAGGTGTTCAAGAAGATGGAACAAAATGGCTGTAAGCCAAACGTGGTGACATATAATACAATCATAGACAGCCTTTGCAAAGACAGGCTAGTTAAAGACGCCATGGACTTCTTATCTGAAATGGTGGATCGAGGCGTTCCACCTGATATTGTTACTTACAACTCAATGCTTCACTGTTTTTGCAATTTAGGACAACTGAATGAAGCAACAAGATTGTTCAAAGAAATGGTTGAAAGGAATGTTATGCCAAATACAGTGACGTTCAATATTTTGGTCGATGGACTCTGCAAAGAAGGGATGATTTCAGAAGCCTGGTTTATCTTTAAAACAATGATTGAAAAAGGTACAGAGCCAGATGTTTACACTTACAATGCCTTGATGGATAGGTACTGTTTCCAGAGACAAATGGCTGAGGCTCAAAAGGTGTTTGATAGCATGGTTGAGAAGGGTTGTGTACCTACTGTTTCTAGTTATAACATCTTGATCAACGGATATTGTAAGAGTGGAAAGATGGATGAGGCGAAAAGGCTCCTTGCTCAAATGTCTCATAAAGCATTGACTCCTGATACAGTCACTTACAACACTCTTATGAAAGGTTTCTGCGAACTAGGGAGACCTCATGATGCCCTAAAACTTTTAAATGCGATGCCTTCTTATGGCATGCTTCCAAATTTGATGACTTATTCGATTATGCTAGATGGCTTATTTAAGCATTCTCATGTTGATGAGGCATTAAAACTTTTTCAGAAAATGCAGGAGAGTGACATAGAACCTGATATTACCATTTACACTATTCTTATTGAAGGGATGTGCATTGTTGGGAAGCTCGAAGCTGCCAGGGAACTGTTCTCTAATCTTTTTGTTATAGGAATACAACCTGATGTGTTTACATATACTGTCATGATTAGTGGACTTTTTAAAGAAGGGCTATCAAATGAAGCATATCAGTTGTTTAGAAAGATGGAAGACGAGGGCTGCTCACCGAACAGTTGCTCTTATAACATTGTCATCCGAGGATTTCTTCAAAACCATGACTCGTCAACTGCTGTACAACTTATTAATGAAATGGTCAGTAGAGGATTCTCTGCTGATGCATCCACTCTGGAAATGTTATTAGATCTGCAATCTGGTGATGGAATTATACGTAGATTTCTACATGGAGATCCTCAAGATGAAGATCCTCAAGATGAAGATGCCAAGTGATGATGTGATGTATTGGTCTTATTTCAAGAAGCTAGCAGCTCCATTTGTGTATTGCAGCACCCAACATGTCCACCTTAGGTACAGTAAGTACCTATTACTTTCTATTTACTTTATATGGTGACTTGTTTGGTATAGGGTCACACTATAGATTCATTTCTTCATTAACTATTGTGAAAATAGTCACTTAAGTTTTCCCTCTACAATATAAGTGGTATTAGTCAATGTTCGTAATCAGTATGGATCAATTAGCTTCATTAAGTATTACAAGGAGATACTTGGAGACTACTTTTGTTAAATTTTAAACATAAGATCTTTAGGAATTCTACAAACAACTTCCTTTGGAGTTTGGATTACAAATTGTTGCCTATAACTTGATTTAGTTACTATGTTTAATGATATAGTGATGGCATATAATTCAGCTCAACATCTTGGTTGTTACTTTGAGCTTTGATCACAGCTAAATTGGACTCAGCTGTTTGCAGACAATAACATGACTGTAGTTCTAGAATCTTCTTTTAGTGTCTTCCATCAGCAAAGAAATCGTATCACGAGAGTGAACTCTAAAATATCATAGCTAGAGTTATTCCAATGCATGTCAATTACCTCATCTGTTATTCTTTTAGGTTGTTCTTAATTGGATTAGAACATAAGTATAGACAACAGTCAGAAGTTGACAAACTTGAGCTACTTCGTCAAGTGAAGTTAGGTTGTAGCTCTACGGTTTTTACCTACTCTTTCAAAGCTACCTACCCTGGGTCCTTTAAGGGAAATCAGGGTTCACCTTTTATATTTGCCCAAAGCGTGTGTTGCTTTTAGTGGATGTTTGACTTATTCCTTCCATTAGTTTGAGTTGAAAACTCTGTATGAACTTGGCTGTTCTTTATTTTATTGGGAATGCCTTACATAGAAAGTTTAACACTCATTTGCTCTTCTTTTTTTATTCTTGAGATTGACTAGTTCTTTATATTCATATGGTATATGATGAAGATGCTGCAGAAAGGTTTAGGAGATTGGAAGGTCAAAGGGAAGAAGTGGATTCAGACAAATTATGAAAGTGAACATCTTGAAGTGCAACTTTTGTAGGTGGGTGATTCAAATAGATGAATGATTTGGGTTTTAATGAAATGAATGCTATTATGGTTGTTCCTCTTTCTGACAAACCCAAGGACAGGTAGGTTTGCTCTCGCTTTTAGTGAATCGGTGACATTTCCCTAGGTTAAGATCATGTTGTTATGATATGTGTTTATTGTAATCAACTTCCTAACAGGTTGAGACAACACAAGGATAGCCGATCTGATTGATTTACTGAGGTGCATTGAAGATCACAACATTGAATCTGAACTCTTACCTAAGGACCTGAAGAGACAAACAGAGTTTTGGGAAAAAGAAAATTTAAAGAGGAAAGAGATGTTGCCAGACTTGGGCAGCTAGTCTCAGCCGCCAAATCTGAATGAGAAGAAATGTTTGACCCAAAAGTTGAAGCAGCTGTTGTTGCTCATGTCATTAAACCCTAATCTGCCTCAACCATAAAAACAAACTCTTCCCCTTACTCCTCAACTGTTGTTTCCACTGCTACCCCCTCTCAGTCCATTGTGGTCACTGCACCCTCCAAAACTGGCATCCCATTCACAACTGCGGCTCCTACCATAGCTGCTGCAATCACTCTCCCCACTGTACACGAGTCACCCTCTCCAACTGCTACTCCCACCAAAACAACCTCTCCAGCTACAACTGCTTCTCCCACTTCCCCAACAAAAACCACCTCTCCCTCCCCTGCACCAACTTCAGTGACACCCAAGATTGAACCAAAACATCAGGGTGTAAATAAGCAACGACGATCCCTAAACCATGGTGGAAAGAAGTGACCTCAGGTAAGTGCAACTTCTGAAGTTCCACAAAGAGCATCTTTTAGAGACCTAACCATGTTCGCCAGCAACCAGCAGGTTTAATTATGGATCCAGGTGTGCATACTTTAACGGATCAGCTAGGCATTATAGTTTGGATGCCCTTAAGCAAACTTGCAGTTTAGTCCCTACGATGCAATGCCTTACTATCAGATGCCAATGTTATCTTTGAAGTACTAAAGGCTTGTGAATTATGGTTGCCATGGCTACTTATGAATATTCAAAGAATGCTTGTAGAACTGGTAGCAACATAGTAGCATATTTGTATAAGGCGCTACATGATGAAATCAATTGAGAAACAGTTGAGAGAAGTTGTTTGAGTTCACTAAGAATCAGGTAAAGAGTGGTCCATTGAGGTTAAGTCGATGGAAATTTTAGCTAGATAACTAAGGCTAAGTATAAAGACAATCCAGGTTTGAAGATTGCTCTTGAGATTTTGAGCTAGATGAACTTGAAAGATTGGCTTAATTTAGTGTAATTGCTTTATCGATCTACTAGCTAGTCAATTTTATTCCTAGAGGTTGAAACAGTGACATTGCTTTTGTGCATTTTCACACGAAGTTGATCGTTTTTCTTTTACCCTTCATATTACTCATTAATTCTGCATGACAGTTTCCACTGTCAGTTTGGTGCTATTGTTTCTAAGTAGCTTGAGAATCATAATTTCAATCTCTTATTTATTTTTGGCTATCATTTTGCTGTTTTATCTCTTTGTTTTTTTTTTTTAATTATTATTTTTTTTTTGAAATATATGGAATTTGTTTTTGCACTTGGGAATAATTTCGATTTTGTATTGGAAATATATGGAATTTGTTTTTAATTAATTTTCCTCCAAGTCAAGCAAGGGGAAAAAAAATGCTAAATGGGCCAACTTTAATCTATCTGAAAATCATTTCTTGAAATTTTAATTTCGGATTTGACCATGGAACTTTATATTTTTGAGATTTAGTTGATCTTTTAAGTTTTTGTAAAAAATAACAGTTACATAATAGTTCTATAGTAAAAATTATTCAATAAGATTTATGTGAGGCTCTCCAAAAAAATTTAAATCATTCAATATTATTTTCTATTTTTCCGAGTTTCTACCTTTTTAATATTCATAAAAAATAAAAAAATAAAACAATTCCCAACCTTGAAAATTGCTAGGATTTTTTAGAAAATGGGTTGGATTTTTTCCAAAGTGTACAAAATGCTAGCTCAAATAACAAAAATTGAAATTTTTTTTTTTATTATTATTATTTAGAGAGGAAGTAATCGTTGAAAATCACGGGAGAGACTAAATTTCAAAAAAAAAAAATCAGGAGATAAAATTGAAAATTAGTTGTTCAGGAGCTGATTGTCAAATGAATTGAAATTCATTAGAGGTTTGATCCATTTAAATATATATATATATATAATCTAATTTACGTCAAAATTCATTAGAAAAATTTATAAAAGTTGTGGAATGCTGCATTTTACGAAAACAAAATGATTCATGTAAAAATTACCAAACATTTTTTTTTAACAGGAGTCAATGAATATTGAATCTCACTTAAAATTCAAAAATCAGAGTTAAAGAATAATAATAAATGTAATTATCTATCTATATAAAGCTTACAGAAAATGGACCGATTTATATTTTGTGTTGTCTTGGATGGTATTGGCTCTTCGGTTCGAACCAAAGTATATTTTCTGACAAAGAAATTTCTTATAAATATATAATTCGATTGTCTTTTAAAGACCTGGCTATGAAAACAAAAGGAACAGTGGAAAAATATAGCAATTTTTTTCTCACAGAACCAACTCCACCAACGCGCTTCTTTTGTTTTTTCATTCACCTCACAATGGAAAGACATGGATTCATGGAAGATCATCAGAGAGTTGTAAGAGTGGAAGACAAAGAGAGAGAGAAATAGAGAGAGGGAGTTTATAGATCAACAGAGGAAATATTTTGACGGTATGGAGAAGTCAAGGAGAGAGATTGAGGCAGGGAGGGAGTTAGCGGAAGGGAAGTTGAGAGAGATTGGTGAAAAAGAGAAGAGCTTTGAGAGATTAAGTGTATAAAGGATAGACTTTGTCGTGTTAAGGGTGATTGAGAGTGACAGTAATGAGAGGATTAAAGCCGTTGAAGTGAAAGAGCTAGAGCTAAAGGTGAAAGAGAAGGAGGTTGAAGCGAAAGAGGAGGCAATCGAGGAATGTTTTAAGGATTTGGAGGGGAGACAAGGGGTGTTTGTGGAGAAAGCGCAAGTGATTAGCATGAAAGAGGAGGAGTTATAGAGCTGTCTTTTTCTGTTGAAGCAAAGCTCATATTAGATATTATAAAAAAAAATCTCTCCTCCAACTTCAAGGGAAGTAAGGTCTTCAAGTTAGTGTTTCGCTAAAGAACTGTATTTTTCTGTTGAAGCAATAAAGGAGAGTCTCGCCCCAGATGAAGAAACAAGCGATGGATGAAGCACTGAAGTTTGCACTTTATTGGAAATCAAAATTTGTAAAGAAGAAGAATTGTCTGGAGGTGATTTGTTTTCTGCTACTTTTAGCTGCATTCAAGTTGGTCTGCTATTTCGATCCACACTAGCTACTTAGCCTTCTGCAAACTGATTATTGGCGTCAAAAGGCTCCTGATTTATGTGAAGTCCTTGGTTTGGCCAATGCGACCCCAAGTAAATGCTCTCTACTGTCCCAAATGTTCATATTTGCCTAGTACATTATGCTGTGATAGGTTCCTCCAAAATTATAGCTGATAAATTTCCTTTTTATGTGGCCAAACATGCCTGCTAGGCAAATTTGATGGTGCTAACAGTATTTTCTTTACCATGACAGATCTTACTGAAAATCTTAGATATTAAAAGGCAGATGCAAACTGTGGCTGTAAAATATCTCTATGCATTGGATATGATTGACAAATTTAAATGATTATTTGAGCTGCTTAATCAAGAGGACTGACCAGAAACTAATCGAAAAGAAAAAAAAAAGAACACCTCTGCCCAGGTATGTAATCCCCATCATGTTTAGTTTTGAATTGCATGGCTTTAGTTAGAATATCTCTCATGTAAAAATTTGTTATCCTGCTTGCAGATTGAAGCCATAAACAGAGAGGTAAAAGCATTGGAAGGTGTTTCCTAATGCGTTGGAGAGTACAAGATTGAATCAGGATTCTCACCCGAGACACTTAAAGAACGGTTTATACAATTGGAAAAGCTGAAAAGAGATTGAATTAGTTTCATTGTAGAAAATGCAATAGCCATCCCAAAAGTCTGAACTTTAACAGCAGTCGCTAAAGAAGCGCCCTCGGATAGCCTCAGATTCTCCTCCAAAAGAATTCATTGCTCATTCAGTGCAACCATTGTACACGAATTCATCAGCGAGACAAGAGAGTTAGGCATGCTATACTCCTAACTTCTTCTATTCTCCTAGTGTCATGCCTTATTATCACTCGAATCCATTTGGCAATCCTGGTAATGATATGTTGATGCTTTTTCGAAGATGCTAGGTAGGTTCAATTCCAACCAAACAAGAATTAAGATGAAATCCAACAAATCAAGCAAAAAAAAAAAAAAGTGAAAGTAAATTTATGAAAACTATCAAGAAGAACAGTGATGTGATGTGAATGAAATCAAAATATGATTGAATTATTGAAAAATAAATGTTACTGGAATGATTGTTTACCAAGAGTTTTCAAGATAAGAACCCTAAGAAATACAAGAGAAAACCAGAGAGAATAAGAGAGAAAATCCCAAGAGAAGAATATTCAATAATGTCAGAATACTCTTGCTCTCTTCCCTCCTTTGGTTTTAATCCATAACTGTTAGAGACTAAGAAACGTGAGTTTTTTTTTCTTAGTAAAGTAGTTTTAAAACTTTATTTTCAAAATAGGATAGTTTTAATCTTATTTTTCAAAATAGGATATTTATGACATATAAGATATACATGTCTTTTTTTTTTTTTAAGTACATTCAATCGTTTCAAGAGCATGGGTCAAGGACTGAATTGTGAAGCAAGTTAAGAACAAGGGTTTTCATCACTACTATATACTTTGGTGACTTTAATATTGTAAATGCTATGCTTGAGAGAGACTCATCTCTGCTCCATCAACCCACTTGAAAGCCATCACCATCACCACTACCACCCACCTACCTATCTCTACCACAAACCAACCAATGGTCACTGTTACATGATTAATGGTGAATGAAAATATTTGAAAGTAGTTAAAGAGAAACTTGATGTTGCAACTACTTTCAAGACCTTTTGTGAAACACATTATAAGCACACTAATTTCTATAATTTATATAAAAAAAAAATAAGAATTGACCCATTATGATTCATAATGATCCAAATTCTTCGTTCAGTTTAACTAGTTTTTTTTTATTATATGGTGGTTGTATTATTGAAAATCATAACAAGGAATGATAGTTAAAACTAAATTCAAGAATTAAACAACTAAAAAATTGATGAAAGATAAATTCAAGCATCTAGTGTGTATGTTTTTACATAATTGAAACCGAATTCAATGTTGATGCAAGAAATTGACAGCTTGAGAGGATGAAAGAGAATTCTCTCATGGTGTATTGCTCTGCTCAATAATAATCAACTGGAGTGGTGGTAGAGATAGCTCAAGATCGATCATGCTACCCTGGCAGCTTCTCCTTTACCTTCTCTTTTAACCATTTATTCTTTTGTCTTCCATCATGGCCATCATCTTCAGAAGAGTTAGAGCTGCAAGTGATATAGATCGATTGGGTTTTCTCATAAAGCAGACATGACATCTTTATTATAAGAAAATAAAAGGTTGACATGTATTTAAGAAAGAAAAATGGACATGTTCATCTTATGTGATATAAGTATTTTGTTTTGATAAATAAGATTGAAATTACCTTATTTTGACAATAAAGTTTTAAAACTACCCTGGTAAGGAAAAAAACTCTAAGAAACATTTCTAACAAACTAGTTTTTAGAGACTAATAACATTTCTAACAAACAAACCACCAACACACAACTCTGTTATTAAAAAAAAAAAAAAAATTATTTGGGATAATTATCAGAAAAACACTCTAAAAAAATCTTATATCCAAGCAACTCATCAATTTATTTTTAAATCTCTTAAACCCAAAATAATATTTTTCTTATCAAAACACTCAATAGTTAACCTCCAACTTAACATTTGCTAACTATTGGATCTTTTGGTAAGATAATTTTTTTATTTTTAGGTTTGAGAGATTTAAAAAATAAAAGCATGGATTTTTTAGAGTTTTTTTTATATTTTTTTATCTAATAATAAGCTTATTTCATAGTTTTTGATGAGTTTGATATTTATAATTTTTTTTCATGATCAAGTCAAGTTCTTTTTTATTGCATTCGAAAGAAAACAAAAATTTTTTGAGGTTGTTTGACTTTTAAATACTAACATTTGACAACTATTTTTTTTATTATTATACTAAAAAACTCCTTATGTTAGAGTTTTTTTTCTATCGATCGTTTGTTTCATTAATTACGAGATTAATTTTACTATTTAGTGACTATAGCAACCGATGCGGTTTAACTAATTACTATTGATGAAATGAGATTTTTGTTATTTTCTCGTAATTCAATTAAAGGGTTATCATTTAAATAAAGAAAATAAGAATATATATGATTATGAAAATTAGTAATTTCTTAAATCCTAATATATTGATAGAAAAAAAAACATCATCGGTAATAATAGTTTTTAATTAATCAAAACCCAACAATTTTTTTATCAAACAATTAAATTAAATTACAAGATGAATGTATAACATATTTTGATACATTAATTAAATAAAACATGATCATCCATAACGAAATACATATTTTAAAAGATAATGGTTTTATTTAAACTAAGGATAATTATCAGAATACCTTCTAAAAAATATACTATTTTATTTTTAATTTCTCAAAACAAAATAATATTTTTAAATCTCATAAGCTTAAAACAATATTTTTCTTACTAAAACAACCAATAGTTAAAACTAGTGTTAATTATTAGTAAGAAAAATATTATTTTAAGTTTGAGAGATTTAAAAATAAATTTATAATTTTTTTAGATAAAAAATTTTTTTATAAGATTTTTTTAGTAATTATGCCAAATTATTTTTCCCTTCTTCTTCCCCATGCTCTTGTTTTATCTAGCCTCCGCATCAATACTTTTTGTTCAAGTCCAAGTGGTTTCTGGTGTAAATTGTATACACGTGTCCATCTCTCTTAGTATTTTTGGGCCTTTGGCCCCTTTATTTACGGAAAGAACACACTAGACTTTGTAATAGAAAGTAGCTGAGGCTTAGCTTTAATGCACACATACCCAACTCAAACTCATGGACTGGGCCATTGACTGTTTGGTTCTTTATGGATAATGATATTCTTGACAGATTCAAGCCTAGTCTTTTTCCGGTAGTATTAAAACCCATTTAGAAATCGGCCGAGCCACCTAAGTAAGAATTGTCTATTTCCGGGTTAGGTTAGAATTTTCATAAAAGGGTAGCAGACAAAAGAAAGGGACCATCTTGTTTACAGGAGGATTGCCAAGCAGTACTAGCTAGATTGATCAGGGACGATGGTCCTCCACAAAGGAATCAGCCTGTCTCTTCCCTCTCTCAAACTGGAAGCTGTATATTGAAATGGAAGCATCTGTCTCGTTTTCAACATGGAATTGTATCAAATAAATAAAGAAATGGATTCATGCATCCATCCTCATTGTATAAAATAAATATATGATAAGGATTATTTATCCATTTACCTTTATATATTAATTTTTCACTTTCGTATATATCCTTGTATATTGGTATTTTCTTTTATATACTTTTTGCACAAAAATATCCTTTAGAAAGAAAGAAGATTTAATTTTCAAAAAACACAAAAGTTAAATTAAAAACCAAAAAAAAAAAAGAAGAAGAATAAATTGACAAAACTACAAACTTAAAAACTTGGAACGTTTAAAAAAATGAAATAACATATAAAAATATATATGTATATTAATAACTAATGAAAATTTTTTAAATTTCGTGTGAAAAACATATTTTTTATTTACAAGGTTTATGGACATGATTTTTTTTTTCATTTTTCAAATTTGACAGCTTAGTATTATTTACCTTAACTACCATTAGTGTCTGCACTTCTATTAAGAAGACTAGAGCTCGTGACTCTTCTTTGTGAAAAAAAAGAAGAAAAAATTAGTATAATCTTTTTAAGAGGTTTTTCAATTACTTTTTTGTCATTTTAATGTTTTTATATTTTACGGGTTTTTTTCTGAGTGTTTTTTTTTTGTTTTAATCTTTTTTTAAATTTTTCAAAATTATTTTTTTAAATTGTTATACCATTTTTGCTCAAAAAATGACAAAAGGATCTAATGAGAAAATAAGAATATATAAAAGTATATAAGAGCAATAAATTCTTAAAATAACATATAGGAGAATACACCTAATATATAAGAATAGATGGATCAATTAACCATATTTCTTATAATCTTTTGTTTTTCTCATTTAAGAAAAGAAATTCTCCATGTCTCTTTTTTTGTGTCGATAGAATAATGACTCGTAACGAATATTATTCATGTTATAAAATAATGAATATCTATCATCATGTTCATCCACTTTTCATATTCCCATTACTCATGATTCTTAATATGATTCAATTCATCATTCAATGATGAATTGAAAGGGTGGTGTAATTGATTATTCATAGTCCCTTCCAATTCTCTCCTCAGTTTTGAAGCCTATAAATAGGCTTGATTGTTCATTAGTTGGTGTATAAGTTTTTTAGAGAGAATAAGAGAAACTTTGAAGTTCTTATCATTTGTATTCACATTATAGTGATTTCATTTTCTTGTCATCATTTTCTTCAATTCTCTTATTATTTCTATTTATTTTGTAACAATTCATCAAATATTCTTATTTTTTATTTTTATTTTTTCAAGTTCATTGTATTATTAATCTTAGAAAAGACCTATCGATATGTCTTTATGTATTACATTATTTATTAATTATACACTTGATAAAAATAAATAAATCAAACAATTATGTAATATTTAATTTGTAATTAGTCTCTCGATACATCTTTTTGATAAATTAATTTCATTAAAATTAATGATTATGTAGATAACAAGTTAGTGATTTCAATATGAATTCATAAAAAAATTCTAATAACTCAAGGACGAAGATTAGAACTTAAGTAAACTTAGTTACATATAAAACTATATTGTATGTTCTTTCTTTCGCTTAACACCATTGATGTCATAACTGAATTATGACGTTGGGAACTTACTAGAATTCAATTCGGCTTTTCTCGTTTTTTTTTAAAAAAAATATAGGAGCTTTTCTAATTAAAATAAAGCAATATAAGTGATTTACTACATTGCTCTCAAGGCTACCTTAACAAACATACCCTGAAATGACTTTTTTATATGTTTGAAACGATATTTTCATAATCAATATTTAAATATTCAAATTCTGCTTGATTTTTAATTTTTTTGAAAATGGTTGATAAATAAATATATTGGAAGACAGGAACAAAATAAAAATTATAATTAATTGATTTTTTTTCTTTAAAAAATGTATGATTGCTAAATAGTGTAATATATAAAAGTATATTGATAGTTTTCTCTATTTTATAGCATTTTTTTGGTTTCACAAAATCAGTAGCTGTATTTATTTGTATTTTGGATTGTGCTATTTCTTTTGTGAGGTATAGTTCTACTTTATATATATATATATATATATATATATATATAAGCAATGTATATATATATTTTTTTTTTGGACGGCCAATTTTAGTCCTTCGTAATTGTAGTTATGCCCTTCCCCAGGTCGATCGGGATCTACTTTGACATAATATAATAAGAATCTTTGAATGGAGGCAGATCTATGAATATTTTATGTGACGCGGTAAATAAAAATTAGAGATTGACTTCGTTTTTTTTTTTTTTTTTTTTATGATAGAAACAATACCATTTGAATCTCCAAATCTTCTACAAAATCTAAACAACTTATCCTAATTCTTGTAAATTACTTCTCTCTGGCTCTTTCTTTTTTCTTCTTTCATCTATTATAAAAATATTTTTTGAATCAGCTTGTTAGTCAATTGACAACTAAGATTTTTTAAGATAATATTTTAGTCCTTCATTATTTTTTTTCATCGACTTTTTTTATTATAAAAACAACACTGTTAATTAACTTTGTCAATCCCAAGAGTAATAAGTATACGAATTGGATAGCATTTTAAGTAATGTTAGCATCCTTCACCTACCACCAACTCACTAATAACCAAACTTTTTATTTTCTTTTTGGAACGAACCTAACTAGTCATGCTGACGTGGAGGCAAAATCTGGCGGTAGCTAGCAAGAAGCGAAGTGGCATACAACTATTGTATTCCTTGGACTTTTGTGTGTCTAACTTTTAGGTACACAACAAGCACAAGATGCACCTACCAAACTCATATTACAAATCTGAGTTGAATAAATTATAAATTAATCCTTTTAGTTTTGTAAAATGAATTAAATAGTCTTTTGTTTACTTTAAAACTAATTACTTAGTCACTTAACATGATTAATTGAGTATTATTTTGTTTTTTTTAAAAAAATTCTTCATTAATTTTTTCATATTTTTTACTCTCTCTGTCTAAAAGTGATTGTTTCTCTTTTTATTTATATCTATCCTAGAATACTTATCTTGTCAAAATTTTTAATATTGTATTTTATTAAACTATTCCTATTTTATAATTTAAGATTAAATTGGGTAGATTTTTTTCCTTAAACAAAAAGAGATATTTTAAAATATATATATTATTTAAAAAATGATATAGCATTATAATTAATAAATTTTTTAAATTGTGTGAAAAGTAAAAAAAAAAAAAAAACTCTATTTAAAAATATTAAGATTAATTAAGTAATTATTAAAAGTAGAAGAACTATTTAATTCTTTTTAAAAAACTAAGGTACTACTTTATAATTTACTCAACTAACAAATACACCAACAATCACGATCAAAAACCCAACAAAAAAAAAAAGGATAAAGACCCCAACAACCCCATCAGCGAACCTTTTTTTCCTCTCTTACCTATTCTTTTGCTTTATTAAATGCAAAAACAAGTAGGATTGGATTTGAAGGATTAGATAATAGTCAATCTCTTTTAAGCCAAAATTATTATTTTGGAAATTCAAAGAATGCGATTTCTTCCAATATGTATTCATGGTTTAAAAAATCAAATACACTTAAAAATAAATTAATGTAAAGCAAAATGCCAAACACAGGGTATGGTCCGAGAAATTTTATAATACACTAGGAATAATTAGTAACATGTATAATAATTACTTTATGAATTCATTTTGAGGAGAGACATAGACAAAAAAGAGAGAAAAATTACATCCATATTCATTAAAAGTGATAAGAAAATTTTTAAGTCCGCTTAAATTTTTTTATTTTCTCTCTTCTATTTTTTTTTATCTATCTCTCTTTTTAAAGTGGATCTATTGAATAATTATTATACATGTCATTGGTTATTTATAACGTATTATAAATTTTTTCGGCATGGTCCTCCAGTCTGCAATTTTCTTCTTTTTTTTTTTAATTAATTTTTGCTTTAAAGCTTCAAGTTGCCATTTTTTTAGAGCTTGCTTCGAGGGGGCTATTCCAAACGCCACCAAACCTTATCTGCTAATTTCTTGGCTATATATATATCCCAATCCCATTTGAGAAAAACAGAACATTGCTTCCATGAGTGTGTTCTCCTTGGTTTGTTGGGTATTTTTTAGACTCTCTCGATTTTAATCTTCCTTTATTCTTCTCTACCAAAACAAACTAAATCCACTGCCCCATTTGCCTTCTTTTCAAGAAAGTGCCAATCTTGGCTTTTATTTATCAGACCCCTGCAACTATAAAGCAAACCTTTTCGAGTCACTACCCATTTCTGTCTCAAATATTATTGGTTTTTCTTGATCTTCTTGCTATAATGGGGCGGGTTGGAGTCTTAACAAACTCGGTGATGGTGTGTGCTCCATTAATGGCTCAATCTGTTGAGCAAATGGTGATTGACATGCAGAGTGCAAGGGCACAAGGAGCTGATGTTGTGGAGGTCAGATTGGACTACATTAACAACTTGCAGCCTCGTAAAGACCTGGAAACTATCATCAGAAACAAGCGATTGCCCGTGATCATCGTGTGCAGGTAACGCTTCTATTTTCTTTTCTGAGATTAGGCTCTATCTATTTGGCGTTTGAAGAGTAGTTTTTTTTTGTGGTTTTTGAATTTTCATCCGTTGCATCATATAAAAATTTCAAAGGAAGAAATTGACAATGATAGAATAGATGGAGATGGCTTTGAATGGAATATGCCTATGCTGAAAACACTCAAGCATGAAAAGTTAAAAAGTTTTTAAATAAAAAGTGCTTCAGATTTTATGTGGGTAGGGATCCGTTGAGTAGTTCTGCTTCAAATGAGAGAAATCTCAAGTAATAAGTACTTTATGATTTTTTAATGGTAGACGCCATTTAGAGGTCCTCTAAGTAGGGTCCACTACTCCCGGTTTGCTTAAAGGACTTCTCCTCTTGCTTTATATATATTTTAACCGGTCGCCTCTTCCTTTATTTAAGGGGCTTATAGTTTATCAAAATTAACTGATTAGTCCTCGTGGTTTTAAACATTATATATTTATTCTTTTTATTTTTATAATTTATTTAAAATTTAATATTTTTGATATCTATAATTTATTTTAAGAAACAGAAAGCTGAAAAAGTATCTATATATAGAACACTATAGTTGACATTATATATTTTTATATATATTTAATATTTAATATTTTTTTCATATTTTTAATTTATTTTAAGAAAGAGAAAGCGGAAAAAAATATGTAGATAAAATAGAACACCATAGCTGACATACGACAAATGATTATTTAACTATTTTTATAATATCAAGACTAATTAATTTGTTTTGATAAAATACGAGAACTAAGTTATGATTAACTCTTTAAATCAGCGATGAAAAGTTCAAAACTCGTGACAGGTGGGCGCACATTTACAAGGAATGTGGGCCCCACATGCTAAGCCCACAAGTGGGACCGATATGTTTGTTTTGTACCTGGTGGCTGGTGGGTTTTTGCCAGTATCAAGGGAGGGAAGGAACCCTAGAGTAGGACATCAACATAAAGTATAGAAATCTTAGCTGTGACGTGACAACCTACCAAGGCTCATGTCCTTCACTTTTTTCTTATTCGTCATTTTGAAAGAAAAAAGAAAAAAAAAGTTAGAAGTTTAAAACAAAACAAAAAAGGAAATTGGAGCAGTGTGGGATCCAAGTTAAACGTTTGTATCAATCAATGACTAACCAAGTAAAAACTAATGTGGTGAAAGTAAAGTGAAGCTCAAGTGAAGCTTCCATGGACCAAAAAAAAAAAAACAACAATGACAAACATAGGGGGTGAAAATCATCCTGTTTCCTTATACTAATTACTATCCACTTTTAGCTATTATAACTTCTCTATCGATTTATGATGCAAACTAAATTTTATATTACTCAAAATTAAGACAAAACATTTCATATGATTGGTTAGAATATATATAAAAGGATTAGTTTATCCTAATTTTGAGTAGTACATGATTTGATTTGAATAGTACAGGATTTGATTTGCATTATAACTAAGTGAAGGGGTTAGATTGACCAAAATTAGATAGTACAAGGGCATTGCGTGATTTTTACACCAAACATAGCTTGACGAGGAGCTACAGATCATAGTTTTAAATAGCAGATGATTGAAAAAATGATCACTATCGCTATTGCAATTTACTATTATATTAAAATAACGATAATGAGATATTCCAAAACCATTATGTAATGATCATTACATGATGTAACTGTTGTTATTTAAATATATGCTTCAAACATTAACAAGAGAGTCAATTTAGAAGACATATACGTGTGCATGAATGATTTGTGTGTGTGTTATTTAGGTGCGGGCATCAAGCACAAAAATCTTCAGTTTCATTCATGTTAATTATAGCATAACTGTACCAGGCCAAAGTGGGAAGGTGGTCAGTATGAAGGGGATGAGCACACAAGGTTGGAAGCACTTCGTTTAGCACATGAATTGGGAGCTGATTATGTTGATTTTGAGCTCAAGGTAGTTTATGAAGTTCCTTTCGGAATTTAAGTAGGTAGAAAATGGCAAAATGTGTGAAGTTTTATCAGAAAAGTAGAAATGTGTGAATTTTAGTGATCTCATATTGATTGTTTACTCTTGTAACTTGCTAAGTAGCAGTATGACAGATGTTAGCTCATCAATTTTTCCATTGTTCGATTTAAACAAGTAACTTTCTGTGAAGTCCTAACTTATATTTCACATGGATGCTATTGTCATTCAGGTTGCATCTGATCTGATAGAGGAACTGAAAAACAAGCATCGGACTGGTGGCAAAGTCATTGTATCTTCTTATTTGAATGGTACAACCCCTTCAAAAGAAAATATGAGCCATCTTGTTGCAAGCATGCAAGCTACCAGAGCAGATATCATTAAAATTGTTTCTAATGCAAATGATATTACAGAACTGGAAAGGATTTTTCATTTGCTTTCACATTCTGAGGTATGAGACATCATGGTAAAACTTTATGCCTTTAAGGTGTATAGAAATGAAAAAAGATCAGACTGTATGAAAAGAAACCATCTAGATGTGGCGTGTATCACTCTGTAGTTTATGAATCAAAGTAAAGCATGTTTAATTTGAATACATGCACACACAGACATTAAATTTCTTGGGGAAAATAAGTTGTAATCGGAAATTGGGTTGCAAAGAAGTATCAGATTTTGTTTATGACTTTAGAATCAAGATAGATTCGTCGTATCAGACTTTCTAGCATGATACAATTTCAGTTCTTGCTGTTACGTGCAGGTGCCAGCAGTTGCATACTCAGCAGGGGAAAGAGGCCTCATAAGCCAGTTATTGTGCCCCAAATTCGGTGGTGCTTTAGTCTATGGATCGATGGAAGGAAATCCAATTCCTGGTCTGCCTACTTTAGACAGCCTTAGAGAAGCCTACAAGGTTGAGTGCATTAATTCAGATACTAAAGTTTTCGGTCTACTTTCAAAACCAGTTAACCACAGCAAAGGTCCTATATTGCATAATCCTACCTTCAGACATGCAAACTATAATGGAGTTTATGTCCCAATGTTTGTTGATGATCTCAATAAGTTCTTTGATGTCTATGCAAGCCCTGACTTTGCTGGTTACAGGTATGGTATATGGAATTTTATAGTCCATTTTGGAATTAAGAAAGCATCAACATTTAAATGTAACATTTTGCTTCATTTTACTTTTGCTCAGTTTGATGTCCATTTTGCATAAAATTGGAAGGATTATTGCTTGCAATCTTGAAATGCCGTATATTTGTATGGTACATTTTGTTGGTTCGTATAAGAGAGCTCTTAAGATGCCAGGGTATTATCTGTTATGGGAATCACATAATAATTATTCTTTTCTCAATCGTCCTTCCTGATGCAGTTTCTCATTCTGCTCATTTTCTGAACTGCAGTGTTGGGTTTCCATACAAAGAAGCTGTCGTGAAGTTCTGTGACGAAGTCCATCCACTGGCTAAGGTGATTTAATCTACCGTTTTAGATGTTCTGTAATTTCATAGTTCTTTTTATTTTTCCATCTTCAAAGGAATTTGATGTTTACTGACCATCTAAGAAATTTCTCATCTCGATGACAGCATTGGTCTATCATAATTTTTTGTACTTGTTAATTGTTACTACAACAATTCTTGACTATATTCCTGATATATTGCAACGTAACCAACATTATGTGCCTATCAGTCTATCGGTGCTGTTAATACCATCATAAGGAGGGCTAGTGATGGGAAGCTGATAGGTTATAATACAGACTGTGAGGGTTCAATAACTGCAATTGAGGATGCTTTGAAAGGTATTGAAATTATCTCCTCAACACTGTATCTTCAGAAGGTTGTACCCGTTTTGAAAGTGAATGTAAATACTTGTTTATAGATTATCAAATTTAGTTGGTGATTTATATAAATTGTTCATGTGGATATTACAGAACAGAGATATATCAACGGCATATCTTCAAATTCTCCATTGGCTGGGAAACAGTTTGTGGTAGTTGGTGCCGGAGGCGCTGGAAGAGCAATTGCAGTTGGTGCTAAAAGTAGAGGAGCCCGTGTAATTGTTTTCGACGTTGATCTTGGTAGGTACACTGTTATTTTCTTATTTGCCTTAAAGGAGGTTACTGATTAGTTCCTTACAAACTACAAAGATAAAAATTAAAGAGCATCTAAACCCTTCTTAACTTTTTCTCATGTTTTTTCCAAAAAGAGAGAGCAAAGTCTCTTGCACAAGCTGTTTCTGGCGAAGCTCAACATTTTGAAAGTCTAGCACATTTCCATCCTGAGAATGGAGCAATCCTTGCAAATGCAACTCCAATAGGGATGCATCCGAGTACAGACCGAATCCCTGTGGCTGAGGTTCTCTCTACTTCATAAAAGTAGCAGAATTTCATTTTGGTTTTCATTATTAAAACCTTCTGTTTGTTTGTTTAAGGCAACCTTGGAAAACTACAAACTGGTCTTCGATGCTGTTTACACACCTAGAAAAACCAGACTATTAAAAGATGCTGATGCTGCCGGAGCAATTACTGTAAGCGGAGTTGAGATGTTCCTCAGACAGGCCATCGGACAGTTCAAACTCTTCACCGGAAGAAGAGAAGGTATCTGATTTACTTCTTCCTTCTATCTCTCTCATAGGTATCTATTTTGTTCTTCCCTTGCATCTCCTTTGTATGTCTTCCAAAGGCCCACACCATTGGCACCGGATAATACTTGCTAGCAATTGAACTTTACATCTTATAGACCATCCTGCCATAATGATGCAAACTTGGCTTGAAACAGGATTTATATTCTAATTGGTAAGTTTAGTCACAATCTTGGATTATTGAAATGTTGAGAACTAGTCTATCAACCAAAGTCCTGCAATACCAATTTGCTGAACTTGTCCACTTCAATCCTTAATGATCACGTACAATTTTGATATCCACCATAGATATAAAGCCCATCGCAGAGTTAGTCTTCCTCAAAGCTGCTTCAAAACAGACCTAATTTAATGTTTGTTTAATGCATAGAAAACCTTAAGGTGTACATAGTTTCTGTAGTTTCATCTATGATTGAGATAACCTCATTTTTTTTCTCTGCCTTCTCTGCTCGCAGCACCGAAAGACTTCATGCGGGAGATTGTTTTAGCCAAATTCTGATTCATTGCATCATACGAAGTATGCTGCAATGTGTAATAAAAATAAACTATCATTTATTGAAAATATGAATTCATTAATAAAAGTTCATGGATTGTTGAAACTAGTACTTTATGGTTACCTGCTGGTTTGTGCAACTTGATTATACAAGCACATTGAATGTATCAATCCCCTGCCTAATAGCAAGTCCTGGCTTCCGTTTTCAAGGCTAAAACCAAATGTTAAACAAGAAATGGGATGTTCTCGGACATAAATTGACTCAGAAAAACCATTAACAGAACAACAAAGGTTGAATATTACAGTTTGACAAGATCTCCAGTTTCTGTTTATGAAAGAGTTTGATGAACTGGAAATCAAAACTGTATAAGCCAAGCTTGGAATCTTAGGATTTATACTTGTGATCAGGCAAAAGAGGACAAGCTCTGTTTATAGTTCATAGCAGTCCTGGGAATTATGCTTCGAGAATAATTAGCTGTGGGCTAAAACTATCCATTCGCCCTGTGTTTGTCATAATTACTCAAATTTGCCTTTTTAACCCAATTTGAATCATATAAATAAAAATTTAAACTTAAAATTATTTATTTAATTAATTAGATTTCTTATCATTTAAGTCAACCATCTTATATGCCAACCTGCCTCTTGAAATGAGAGCAAGAACAAGGAATCACCTTCTCCTTTATCTGACGTATTCAATTAAAAGTCTGAGACAATGAACAACCAACTCCCTCGATTTATAAAACAATACAAAGTATATTATAATCACACGATTTGACACGATGTGTCATATATGACCTATTATCAACCTAGATTGCCTCTTGCATGGTAGATTGGTAGCGATCAAATTCAAACCCTACTTGTTGAAAATGGTGATGACAGGAAGCTTTTTTAATGTGCATTTTGGCCATTAAAGATGGGTTTGTACTTGCTGCGGGCTCCGGTTCAGTTGTGGTTGTGATTGAAATATATATTTGATACAATATGTAATTAATTAAAAAATTATTATAAAAATATTTGGTCAAAAGATGGTAGGATGGTGTTATCATCAATAAAATTATGAAGGTAAAAATACTTATATACTCTTATATAATACTGAAATCCCTTTTATGTTTTAAAATTTCTAATTATATATCATTTATTTTTTAAAATATTTGAAATATTTAATATGTTATTCATATCAATTTTTTCAACTAAATGATTTTTTTAAAATCAAATTACATACTATTTATCTCCAAAAATATTTAAAATATTCAATTTATCTTTTCGATTAATTTTTACTATCAAATGATTTTTTACCCAAATGTCCCTGATTAAAATGCTATATATATATATATAAAAAAAACTTTAAAAAAAACATGTAGGTCATGTGATTTTTTCTTTTTTTTGTATTTTTGTAAAGGACATTTCTATTTTAAAAAAAATTATGGTAAAAAAATTTAAGCGAGAAAGATAGATTAGATATTTCAAAAAAATTAGTGATATATGAAAAACAATTGAAAATGTAAAGATAAATAAAATGCAATTGAAAATGTAAAGACAGATAAAAAACTTCTATATATATATATATATATATATATATATATATATTTAAAATTTTAATTTAAAGATAAAGTGTATTTTAAAGTGATAATCTAGGATTTTTTTTTTCCTGAAAAAGAAGAAGAAGAAATAACACAGTGAATAAAATATTTATTATGATCATATATGTCATTATTCATGTGGTTTTAGTAATTAGAGAAAAAAAAAAAAAAGTCATCTCATGACCTGAGGATCATGATTGGGGATATGGACCAGTCATATCTTTCTAACGTTAAAAGCTTCAATTTGGAGAAGTAAATTTCTCGCCATGTTTGCATAGTGAAATTAGTTGCCACGCAGAAGATGTGAAGTGACCAAACAGATGTAAGTGACTTTTTCTCAAAAAGCTAAAAAATTCCACCGCACCCTCAATTCTAAGTGCGGCTTTAATGCAGAATGCATTTCACAACTTTACCTATTTTTTGTTGATTAAAAAATTTTATACGTAATTTTATTCTCAATTTTGCATTAGTTTCTTTTATTTATTTTTATTCGAATTAATATATATATTTTTTTTAACATTCAAATTTATTTTGGTTGGATGTACCAGAAAAACTATGATTATCGGTAAATTAACTAGTTATGAGCCTAAGATATTGATAATTGTTCAAATCTATTTTTATTTAATTTTTCGTCTTCATGTTTTTATCCTTTTCTTCTTCTTCTTCGTCCTTCTTCCTCTTGCCACCACAGAAAATCGCCACGACTGCCACCTCATTCTTCTTCTTCCTCGTCTCTCCTACTCCACCGCCAAAATCAATATTTTTCTCCTCTTCTATCTTCTCCCTTTGCTTCTCAATGAACTAATCCCAATTGCACATAGAGGAGAAGAAAGAGTATGCTAAACCAAAATGCGGGTCTTTACTTTCATGCTCTCATGGAACATTAAAAAATTTCATATTTATACCAAACACTAACCTCATTTCAAGCTACATAGCAAGATTCAAACTACATGGACTCGCCTTCATACTTCAATCTCAACTCCAACCAAGCCCATAAACTCAAGAAAACAAAAACTCATTTGGCCTCTCATTTTGAAGCCGAAAACACGTAGAAAATGACCAATCCAACTTTAGTGTGGCATTTCATCAAACGATTTGAGTCCCAAATCTAAAAGGGGTTTGAGGAAGCGGATTGAAGTTATTAGTGAAGCAATATCTACAGCACTTTCCATACGGGTATCTTTGGGTTGCCTCTTGGGTCTATTAAGACCAACAGCTTATAATTGGATCACTCCCAAATGAGCTTTATTCTTTAATATTATATGGAGATTTGTATGTTAGTCGTTACATTTAAACAAAAATCATCAGCGTTATAGGACTGTGTTTGGTGTGTTGTTATGGTTAATTTTCTTCTGCATTTATATTTCAGGGTTTGCAAGTCTTGTTTTATCAAATTAATCTATCTAAATTGGTTGCATGTTAGCTAAAACAGGAGGAGGAGGAAGAAGAAAGATGATTTTGGTGGCGGAGGAAGAGAGAGAGGAGGAAGAAGAAGAATGAGGTGGCAGCCACGGTGATTTTACATGGTGGAGAGAGGAAAGAGAGACGGGGAAAACAAGAAAAAATAAATAAATAAATGAAAGGGAAAAATAAAAATATATTTGGACACGTGTCAATGTTTTAGACAGGTTATTTGTTGATGGAAACATACAGTACATTAACTTTAACTTTGAACTTTTTTTCCAATTAAGTGCATTAATTTTTATATTTTTCGGTTCCGTATATTAATTTTTTCAAAAATATGAATTAAGTTTTTTTGTTCAATTTTTTATGTAATAATCATTTATGTAATAATTATGTGAAAGTTAATAGAAAAGATTAAATGACTATATTATCTTTTTTTCTTTTTAAATTATTATTATTGTTTAACTATTAATTAAAAAAAAAAAACAAAGCTACTGGCAAGCATGAGTGCCATATACGTTTAATGGCAAATCTTACCTTTATTCTATTACTATTTGATAATTTCATATCTATAATATTAAATTATGTAATTTGAACTTTAAATTATTGAAGATTGGACAAACATAATCCAAATTATCTAATTTTCATTATGTGTAACGATCAATTGAGTTGATCATTACTTGAAATGTTAAAATAATATCGTTTTGATATTTTATTGTTAATTATATTTTTTTGAAAAAAAAACATTTTAAAAACATTTTTAATCTCCCTAATCTTGAAAAAACTTTAAAACTTTTTTTTTATAAAATATTATAAAAATTTTATAAATTATATATTAACCTCCTGATTTTGATATTTTTTTTAATAAAATCTTATTGTAAAAAAAACATAATTAACAATGCATGATGTCAAGCCTTAAAAAAATCTTTTATAAATTAAAAATAGCATAATTATTGGCTGATCCCTAATTTTATAAATTATATATATAAAAAATATATAATGCATAAATATTTTATAAAAAAAGTTTAAAATTAAGGGAGGTCAAAAATATTTTTTATATAATTTATAAAATGTTTATTTTATAAGAAATAAGTTTTAAAAAATTCAAGATTAAGAGATTAAAAATATTTAAAAAAAAAACATAACTATAATCATTTTGGCATTCCAAGTAACAGTCAACTAGATTGACCATTACACATGACAGAAATTGGATAATTTAAATCACATTTATCTAATCTCTAATACTTTAATGTTCAAATTATGTGATTTAGTAATATGCATTGAAATGACCAAATCACAATAAAATGGGTTAAAATTTGCCATCAAATTGCATGCCAACTGCTTTGCTTTTTTTTTTTTAATTAATAGTTAAATAATAATTTGAAAGGAGAAAATTTTATATATATATATATAATCATCTAGTCTTCTCTATTAACTGCCGTATCATCACTATAAGAAAAATTATATGAAAAAACTTGATTGACATTTTCGAAAAGATTGATATATTAAAACAAAAAAAATAAAATTAATATACTTGATTGAAAAAAAATTCAAAATAATTATACTTATTATGTAGTTTTTCCTTTGCTAATTTACTTACGGTCATGATTCCAATCAAATAAGGACCTAACTAAGAAGAATTTGAAAAAATAAAAATAATAGAAAAGGGAAACATAAAAATATATTTAGACACTTGTTAGTATTTTAGATAGGTGAATGGCAATCATGGTTTGCAATCAAATAAGGACCTAACTGAGAAGAATTTGAAAATAAAAAAAGGGGCATTAAAACAAATAAAAATGAGTATAAAATAAAAAATGCATGTAATTTTTTCCAATGACGACTTAAAACAAAATAAATAGGGAGTAGTGTGAAAAATTATAGGAATGAATATAAATTTAAAATAAAAAGAGTCAAAGTTAAAAAACTAAACATTTTGGATGATCATGTGAAAACAATACAAGAACAAGTATAAATTCATAACTGTATATAAAATCGCGAACTCTAAATGAAAATTTGATCAACTATCAAACCTTTAATACAATACTAATATTATAATATATATGCTAATATTATTAGGTAAATTCAAGCCATTTCTAATTTTTTTTAAAAAAAAGACTAATACTGGTAAAATTCTTAAAAGAAAATTATTAATTCCTAAAAATAGGTTTTTTTTTAGAATTGATCCTAAAATATAGGTTAATTTTAAAAAAAAAAGACATAAAAAGGCTATTTAACTCCCTTACAAAACTTCTCTATTGCCTCTCTCAACAAAAAATCCAACAAGCACGCAACCTGTTTGACAAAATTCCCGGGAGAAGCCACCATAGCGGAATTGTTTACTGGACTTCTTTGCTTACGAAATACTCAAGAATTGGCTTCATTGATGAGCTACAGTTCTTTTTGATATCATGCCTGAGATGAATGTTGTTTCATGGACTTCGATGCTTTATGGGTTAGTTGATGCAGGAAGGATTTGTGAAGCAATAGGATTGTTCAAGGAGATGCCGGAGAGGAATGTTGTTCAATGAAATGCAATGGGTTTTATTTGAATGGCAAGTTTGTTGATGGAGAGAGGATTTGGAATCGCATGGTGGAGATGAGTATTGTAGCTGAAACTGGATGTGTTTGGTTTTAATGCTTTGATTAGAGGATTTATTAATGGTGTCCCTTTCTTTTTCAGAATGGTGATGTTGGTTTTCGCTGTTGACACTTGGCTAACCATGTGAACCAGCTGGCGTGTCTGGCTTTTTGGCGTTTTTTTTGGCTGTAGAGGAATCAACAGTCACACACGTGACTTGGGCGTGCATGGGCACCATTAATTTATTTTAAGGAAAACCAAAATTAAATTAAAAATTGAAGATTCAATTTGAAATAAACTAATGTTCAAGACCTTTTTTTTAACAAACAGTGAGGTATTTTTGAGTGTGTTTTTGCATAATCAAGATGATTATGTTCATCACTCTTAATACTATGTCAGTATCAAAATATATTTAATTTTTAGTTGGTTAATAGAATCGTTTTTAAAAATTCAAGATAGGTTTGATTTATTTAGTTTTTTTGGAGGCTAGTATGTATTTCTAATTGAAACAAACCACATGTGTGAGATCATACTTAACTTTGTAAAAAAATTGGAGATGTGGGAGAGGGACCTCTAAATAATCTTATCTGCCACCCCCTACTCTTAAATTAAGAAGTTTCGAGGTAGTAACTTTTCTTTGTAATTTTCAGGAAAAAAAAAAAAAAAACCTTAATTTCTACTCAAGTTGGGCTGCGGTTGGTTTGTTGAAAATTACGCAACAAATTCTTTAATTCCTCAGGTGGAGTGCAAGCATAATACGACTTTTGGGACAACGATATGTTAATTTATTAAGCCATTAACTGACATGAACCAAGTTAAATAGAAATGAAAAATACCTGACTGCAATTTTGAAGGAAACATTTCCTTCTATGACATTAACAAGATCTGGAAAAAGGGAAACCTGCAGGAGGAGCAAGAGATTCTTTTCTTGGAAGTAACTCATTAAGGAGGTCAAGCTGGATTTAAATAATATCTGTTTATATACATTATTAATAACTGTCGAGTATCGATTATCGATTAAAAATAAAAAGTTTGAAGTGTTCGTATATATAAAAATCAACTCATAATCTAGTAGCTGAGTTTTTGAGTTAAAATATCTAGCGATGCATAAAAACCTTCAGGGGCAAGCCTCACGGGACCCATCAATGAGTACTCATCAGTACATATTTCCCTGACAATAATAACATGTGTAACAGGCTAAGGAGGACTATATTGCTGAAAACTCTACCATGTACCAACATAAGAGTTAACTTTTTCTGGAACATAAACATACAGCAAACTCAAGCCAGCATCACTCTCCTTCAACATGGGAAGCCTTCCGGTACTTTTTATATATATATATATATATATATATATATGCCTATCTCCACTTAGTAGTTTCATGTAACTTTTGCATGTAAATTTAACATGCAGTCACTTAAATTATAATGTTGTTTGTATTTTTTTCTTTCTATTTGTAAAATAAAATTTGTTCATCTAGTATCAATGTTTTCTCATCATGTTGTCATCTGACTAGTTTTCCACCTTTCGTTTTGGATCATGTTTTTAGTTCACTACTTCTGATCTTCAAATAAGTGGTAGTGAAGTTCGAAGCAGTCCTACACTGCTGTGTGTACCACTAATGGGAACCACAGTCGAGCAAATGTTGATCCAAATGAGAAATGCTAAGGAAATCGGTGCTGATGTTGTCGAAATTCGGCTTGATTGTCTGACAAACTTCAATCCTCACCCAGATCTTGAAATCCTTATTAAACGGTCTCCTTTGCCCACTTTGGTCACTTATAGGTAAAGACTAAGTTTAACAATATGTATACTTCTATAGTTATGACGTTTGTTAGCATTCTGCTTCACAAATTTCAGACTTTTTCTTGGTCAGTTAACAAGCTTTCTTTATGAAATCTGTACTTTCCAGACCAATTTGGGAAGGTGGTCAGTATGAGGCTGATGAAACTGAGCGACCGGATGTCCTTCTTTTGGCAATGCAATTAGGAGCTAGCTATATTGATGTTGAGCTTGAGGTATCCATTTTATCAAATAAACTCCAGTTTCCAGGGCAGAAAGGTTCCATTGCAAAATATCCTCTGGCACTGCTTTTTCCAAGTCCTCAGCCTCCTGGCATTTATTTTTTAAAATGTGAAACAATGTAATGACATCTTTATAGAAAACGGATTTGTAATGCTCGCATATTTTGCAGATTGCTCATGACTTCAACAATTCCATATGTGGAAAGAAGCCTGATAACTTCAAGGTCATTGTTTCATCTCACAATTATCACCATACTCCATCTGCTGAGGCCATTGCCAATCTTGTTGCAAGAATGCAAGCCACTGGAGCTGACATAGTCAAGATTGCTACTACTGCGTTAGACATTACAGATTGCGCACGCATATTTCAGATTATGGTGCATTCTCAAGTAAGTAACGCACTTTTTTAATGGCACTCTTTCCAAGGATTTTGGTAAAATCATCTTTACAATTTCCATATAAATGTGTCTTTATGTACCAAAATTACAGGTACCAATAATAGGGACTGTGATGGGAGAAAGGGGTTTGATTTCATGGATACTTAGCCCCAAGTTTGGCGGATACCTCACTTACGGAGCACTTGAAGCAGGTGCTATATCAGCTCCTGGACAACCAACTGCAAAGGATTTGTTAGACTTGTATAACTTCAGATTTATAAGACCTGACACCAAAGTGTATGGCATTATTGGGAAACCTGTTGGTCACAGCAAGAGTCCTCTTCTGTTCAATGCATCATTCAAGTCGGTTGGTCTTAATGCAGTTTACTTGCATTTTCTGGTGGATGATGTGGAAAAGTTCTTCAATACCTATTCATCTATAGATCTTGCTTCCGGATGCAGGTGTTGTCTCTTAAGATTCTTAGTCTTAGCATTATTTATGTCCTAAAACTTTCTATGCATTCAAGGAAAATGCTCGAGTATGCGAAATTTAATTAACTGCTTCAAGTTGTTAGGTGTTGAATAGTAATCAACTGCCTAACCTTCCATCTGTGAAATTTTCAGAGTATTGTATTTTTGAGAAGCAAACTGATAAATTTTACTTTGGATTGCAGCTGTACCATTCCCCATAAGGAGGTTGCACTTAAATGCATGGATGAAATTAATCCCATTGCCAAGGTATTTGATGATCTGCAACATTTATCACTACCATTAGCTTCATCACTTTTTTTCTTTCTCCTTTTCAATTTCAGTTGAAGGGATGCAGGTTATCATTAATAATTCATTCTTTGCTTCCTTAAGAAAATTGGAGCCATCAATAATATCGTCAGGAGGCCAGATGGGACATTAATAGCTTTCAACACTGACTATATCGGTGCCATCTCTGCAATCGAGGATGGACTAAGAGGTTGGTGATTTGTTTACAAGCTATGAACTCTGCCTAGACAATATATATCCTTTTCTTTTCATGGTTAGTGGCCTTGTGCAGAATTAAATGGAGCAATTCCAGCAGGTGCATCACCCTTGTCTGGTAAATTGTTTGTGGTTCTTGGTGCTGGTGGTGCCGGGAAGTCACTTGCCTATGGTGCTGCACAAATGGGAGCCAGAGTTGTGGTTGCCAACCGAACTTTTGGTAATACTCTAGCAATGAGTTTCACTAAATGCATATTTTGATGACACTGATTTAGAAGCTAAATTTCAGTTTAGTGTAGAGGCCAATAGGAGCTTAAGCCAAATTTAATGAAGGTCTATCTCAGCAGAAAATTGATTGAAGAGCAGAGATAAACCTCTAACAATGTTTGTAAAGACTGATAATATTTCATCACTGGCTTCGATATATGATTATTTCTTGCCACAGAACGAGCTAAAGAATTGGCTGAAAAGGTCGGTGGACAAGCAATGACACTTGCTGAAGCAGAACACTTCCACCCAGAAGATGGAATGGTTCTTGCAAATACCACATCTGTCGGAATGAAACCTGACACTGGTGAAACTCCGCTAGCAAAGGTTTGTATTTGTGTTTGTGTTTTACCAGAAAATGTCGAGTAAAGAACCTGAAGAATGGGCCCTTTACGGTGCAGAATTGATCATATTTTCCACATTTTGCAGCATGCTTTGAAACACTATTGCCTTGTCTTTGATGCCATCTACACGCCAAAAGACACAAGACTCTTGCAGGAAGCAAAAGAATCTGGAGCCATCATTGTCTATGGAACAGAAATGTTGATCCGCCAAGGCTTTGAACAATACAAGAACTTCACTGGCTTGCCGGGTAAGATGTACCGAAGTAGCTTATTGTTTTTATTAATAATACTGATATTGGTCTTCATGGTTATTCCTTTTCCTGCTTTTTATTTCTTTTCCAATTACAGCACCAGAACAAATGTTCAGACAACTCATGGAGAAACATGCCTAAGAGGGAAACTGCCTAGCTTATCTATCCACTACGTACTGAAGCTGAAACCAACTTTCTGTATCACAATTTATATAGCTAGTTCAAACTGTTATGTAATTATAGTTCGGTCATTCAGCTGAACAAATAAATCTACTTTTAAGAATTCCTGAACACAGAATTTCTGAAATTTTGTGACTCATGCCAGCACATCAAACAAGCATGGACGATACCAGGAGACACCCACTTGATTTCTGTTCATGAGAAATAAATTTGGTTACGCTGATGTGCTACAATTTCATAATTAAAAAGCCAAAGACAATATTAGAACTCGATTTAAGGGAAGAATGTCTTCTGCATGATCTATAAGTGGACTGATAATCAAGAACCTACAAGACCTCTAGTTGAGTCAATGGCAAACATATACACCATATACGCATTCCTCATTAAGGCCAGGATAAACAAAAAGAAATATGGTAATGCAAGCGTGCATATAAACAGATGATCAAAGCCATAGAAAGACCTTGAATGGAAGCGAGATGTGATCTAATTCTACCTATTTCAACTTAACCTAAAAACCATTAAGTAATACTAATAACCTTATAAGCTAATCATGACAAAAAAAAAAAAAAAAAAAAAGCTACCACGATTCACTGGGACAGCAGATCATGATACAAAATTGCAGCCTGTCTCTATCAAATGCTGTCAAGTCACAATCATCCTTGCGTAAACAAAAAGAAAAGAACGATTTGTGTGAAAATAAAGTTTTAAGTCTTGTATCCACTGTCGTGGGAGAAAATTGGATTCCCTTAATCACCTAAAATTAAAAAATGTTGATGTATCTTGATGAAATGCTATGCGGTAATTTTAAATAGCATATGCCAAAAAGTATATTCTATTTGAATTATTAAAAAAAAAATTGATTCTTTTAGGAGAAAAACTTAAATTGAGTGCCTAACCTTCTATTTTTACTTTTATATGTTTGAGTTTCCTCATTCACCTAGATTGAAAAATATTAATGTGACTAAGATTATTAATACATGATAATCTTTAACTAACACAAAATAAAAAACAATTGTCTTGAGTATAAAATAATAAATGGAAAAGATTCTTGCAAAGACAGTACGTTGTTTTTTGATGATTAAATAGTACTAGGAAGACATGTTTTCTCTTACATTTGTCCTAACATATGATTCACAGAAAAAGAAAATTATTAGACCATGGTTCAAAGATCAATTTGTGCTGAAAAAAGAATTAAAGAGGCTCTAATAATTAAAAAAAAATTAAACATATAGTTTTTAATCCCTATCAATTTATTGTTTTTAATTTTCATTTTCTTTTTGTTGAAGAAGGTGGTCTCGTACTACACATATGTTATGAATGCTGTACGTAGAGGCACCCCCACAGGACACAGGCCACAGTCCCCAGCATGAGAACGGTCCAAAAATTTGAAAATGTTAGTCGGCATGTGTTTTTAATGCTAATGTTAAACATAAATAGACATCTAACGGTCGTATATTCGGTGGTTTTTTTAATTAAAAAAATTGTAATTTTAATAATTTTCATTTATGTAGTTATTTATTATTATATAATAGAAAAAACTATGCTATTATATTGCCCAAGATCTAACAAATCTTCTGATGAACCAAAAAAAAAAAAGTAAGAAAAATTAATGGTAAGAGATAAATTATTTACACAGACCATTTTTTACCATTGGATCAACAATTCAATGGCTGAAAATTCACATGAAAGTAAATAAAAAAATTCTGTAAAATGTTTAAAATTACTGAGTGCTTCACGAACACATTTTAACTTTTTTTTCTATTTATAAATTTATCTGATTATTATATAATGGGAAAAACTATCTTATATAAAAAAATAAAAAAATTAATGGTAAGAGATAAATTATTTTCGCATACCCGTTTTTTATCATTGGATCAACCATTCAATGGTAGAAATTCACGTTAAAGTAAATTAAAAAAATCCTTTTAAAATGTTTAAAATTACTAAGTGCTTCAAGAGCATATTTTAACTTTTTCCTATCCATAAATTTATCCTTTGTCATTAATTTTTTTATTTTTCCTAAAACAGTCGCAAAAGTAATTTTCTACGTTTACAAATTTTGAAAACTGTTGCTTCAACCGGCTAACAAACCCTGAAGAAGGTCAAAAAACTCGTCTACGAGACGACGACTATTCTCACGCACCTAACCCACCCACCAACCACAGTGGCTTTCTCTTTCAGAAAATAACATAAAACTAAAAACAAGTCATAAATTTCAAGACTACTTGGCCACCTTCTTCTCTGCTAAAATCTCAGACAACAACTAACAACTACAGCCAGCATCAAACATAGATATTCACGATGACTCTTGGCAGTGTCCCGGTAACACTTTCTTTCTATATTCTCTTTGTTTTTTTGTTCAGTCTCTCTAGGAAACTGTTGGATAAGAAAATAAAGAAGAAGAAACACTCATTTCTTCTTTCATTTTTTATTGTTGTTTTTGTTTCTAGGTAAACATAAAATTTAATTATTTATTTGGTGGATAGAAATGGAAAGAAGAAAGAATAGAAGGTTTTGGGTTTAATTTTATGGTTCTTGTTGCATAGAAGAAAATGTTGAAATATTGAATTCAAGTGAATTTAACAGTTGTTGTACAGGTAGTTGGCGACAATGGATTTTAGTTTTCTGGGCTATTTTGATATTTCTGATTATATCTATTTTAGTTTCCTTACTTTCATAGCATCATATTGAGTATTTTGATTTTTTTTTCTTTTGACTTTTTTGGTTTGATTTACATTTTTTCTGCAACTGAAAAGGAGCTATTATGTCAACGTAGACTTTATAATTTCTAGTTTGTTTTAGTTTGCTTTGATTGGTTAATGAGAAACCTAATGGAAAGAGAGACACATGATGTCGGATCAAAGGGAGAAATTTGTGTAGTTTTTCATAAATTTATTGGGTCCAATTGGTTTTGGATATTGATCATTCATGTCTAACTATTTGAATACTGGATTTATTTTTATTTTTTGGTGGATTTTAGCTAACGTCTATGGATCTTCAAAGTACCAATGGAATGCGTAGAAATTCGACGCTGATATGTGCACCAATAATGGCAGAAGCAGTTGGTCAAATGTTGGTTCAAATGAAAAAGGCGAAGGAACTTGGGGCTGACCTTGCTGAAGTTCGGGTGGATTTCTTGAAGAATTTCAGTCCTAGAAATGATCTTGAAGTCTTGATTAAACAAGGTCCTTTACCCACTCTTATCACTTACAGGTAGTAGATCATAAACCAACAACATGTGCTATAAAAATGAGATTGAGTCTTATTGCTTTAAAAATCGCTTGTGTTAATTGCAAATTAGGAGAACTTGTGTAGTCACTTTCTTAACTTTTATAAACAACAGAGTAGAAAATGTGTACTGGCTCAGTAATGCTTTAATTTTATTATTAATTAGTTCAAATTTAAAGTTAAATAGTCAGGTTGTCATATTAATAAGATTTGGTGAACTTTTTCTTTTTTCCTTCTGCCAAACATTGTGAAAATTCGGCTTCGGCTTATTCTGTGTTCTGTCTCACCTTTGGTGCTGTACTGTAGTATTCCTTTGCTCTTGGATTTATATGAATTTTCCCCATCGATCATGTATCTTTTAGACCGAAATGGGAAGGTGGTCAGTATGATGGTGATGAAAACAAGCGACAAGAGGCGCTAAAACTAGCAATGGAATTGGGAGCAGATTTTATAGACATCGAACTTAAGGTTGGCCTTCCTACAGTCTGTATTCTATTATTTTTGTTGAGAAAGCCATTTGATAAGTACTTGATTTATATTTACTACAGCAGTTAGACAGATATTTTACTGAAACTATTGTGTTCGATGCTTGAAGGTAGCTCAAGAGTTTTATAATTTCATTCAAGGGAATAAACCTGAAAAGGTCAAGATCATTGTTTCTTCACACAACTATGAATGTACTCCCTCCATAGAGGACATAGGTGACCTTGCAGCCAGGATACTAGCTACTGGAGCTGATATAGTGAAGGTTGCAACAACTGCTTTAGACATTACAGATAATGCACGGATGTTTCACACAATTGTGCATTCACAAGTAAGTAGTTTGCAAGCCACAGAAGTGCCTGTTGAATTGCAAGATTGTTTCTTATATGAAATATTTTCCTGTCTAAAATGTCATGTGAAATGTCAGTGTGTGCTGACGTAGAATGACAATGATGAGCATCCACATGATATGTCTTACTAGTTATAATACTGTATTTTGTAATTGTTTGTAAATGACACTTAAGCTGAATCGTAGGTTCCAATCATAGGGCTTGTTATGGGCGAGAGAGGTTTAATGTCAAGAGTGCTTGCTCCAAAATATGGAGCATTTCTCACTTTTGGTTCAATTGAGCCTGGAGTAGTATCTGCTCCTGGGCAACCAACTATCAAAGATTTATTGGATCTTTACAATCTCAGACAGATTGGGGCTGATACCAAAGTACACGGTGTTATTGGGAATCCTATTGGTCATAGCAAAAGTCCTCACCTCTATAATGCAGCATTTAAGTCAGTTGGTTTTAATGGAATTTATCTGCCTCTGTTGGTTGATAATGTTGCAAATTACATATCCACATACTCATCTCCAGACTTTGTCGGATACAGGTAAAACTTTTCTCATAAATATTTACAAGTAACATGAATTATGTATTATATTTTAATCCTCTATTCTCTTGCACAGCCAAAATGGCTAAATAAGTTTCTCATCATGTCCGTTTTCCTTTTAAATTGCTAGCTTACTATGGGAAATTTTGGTGTTATATACTTTCTCGTATTTACGAGCAAACTACACTTGCTTTTTCAAACTTCAGAAGCTTCAAAAATGGATTCCAAGTTTAGAGCATTTAGAGATTAAAGAAAGAATCTTAACAAGTAATCTCCAAATTGAAGTTTTAGACTCTTTTTTTTTTTTTTTTTTAATCACAAGCTTCAGAAAGATAAATTTTGCACAAAGTAAGATTCCTGGGAGTTTGTCAAATAACATAAGTGCCTGTTATGTTTGATATAGACAGTATCATATATTCTTCAAATCCTTGATAGTTCCTGTACATTTAAGCCTTGTAAAATAGAGATACCTTTGAATTTTATGAAACGCAGTTACACAATTCCTCACAAAGAAGATGGACTCAGGTGCTGTGATGAGGTCGATCCAATTGCCAAGGTATTTAAAAATCTGGTAACTTTCAGGCATTCATAATTAATTACTTGTCCACAGCATCACCTTTAAGAACTTCAAATTCTGTTTGTCCAAAAAAGATGCTTGTTCCATCTTAGTATCATTGTATATGTTTTATTGTAATTTTTCTTTTTTCAGGAAATAGGAGCTATTAGTTGCATGATTAGGAGACCGGTTGATGGAAAACTAATTGGTTACAATGTTGACTATCTTGGAGCCATAGCAGCTATTGAGGAGGCACTAAGAGGTTTGTATTTAACGTTACAAACTGCAGTGTTTGTTTACACTTTCTTGGTCAAAGTGTTCTCCTTTAACCCTGAATTTTCCTTGCAGCAACTAATGGTGTCCCTGCCTCAAGTTCTCCCTTGGCCGGTAAACTCTTTGTTGTCATTGGAGCTGGTGGAGCTGGAAAGGCCCTTGCTTACGGTGCCTATGAGAAAGGAGCGAGAGTCATTGTTGCCAATCGAACATACGGTGAGAATCTCTATTTTTTTTAATCGTCTTCTTTATCTCATGATCAGGATGTATTTTGTGGTTTTATAGGTAGAAGATAATAATTGAGATAGTTAACAGTATCTAGCTGTAAAACAGAAACTCGTCTGTCATCCCCACCTAAATTGCAATAATGTTTCACAATTTCTGTCAGGATAACATTATATATTAGTAGTCTTAACATGTATTTCTGAGTGGCTAATCTTCTGTTATTAAAGCATGGACATTTGAGAAAGAAATAGAAATCATCAGTTGTTTTTAATACTTAATACTACAAGAATTGAGGTTTTTTATGGGCGGAGCAGAGATAAAAGCAAACTTAGATCTTTCAGATTGGAGATCTAAAAGACAAAAAAACAAAGAAAAACCAAAAAAAGAAAAAGAAAAGAAAGAGCGTGGTTATTGAAGGAAAGTTTTAGATTTTTATGTATGGGTATGAAAGCAAACAAGATCTCTCCAAGTATTCCAAATATTGCAGCACAAAGCAAAGGGAAACCCTGGAGTCTGGAGGAGTTTGTTCTTATGAAATTGTTGCTTGAAAATATTCGAAGGCATAGCTAACTGCAAAAAATTGATCTTCCATAAGGAACTTGAGTTGCTTATGCTATAAATTTCCACTTTAACATGGCGATGCCAATTTTGTAGACATTTATATAAATCATTTGGTGACATTATATTTTCTCTCTTTAATCCATTTTTCAGAATCATTGTTCAGATGAGCATTGAAATTACGTATTTGCTAATCCAGTAATCACTTGTGTTTCTTGATATCTTTGCCAGGCAAGGCCAAAGAACTTGCCACTAAGGTTGGAGGACAAGCAATTACTCTGGATGAACTAAAAGATTTTCATCCTGAAGAGAGAATGATCCTTGCAAATACCACATCTGTTGGAATGAAACCAAGAATAGACGATACACCCCTTCCTAAGGTTTACACCTAAGTTATCATATTCTACCGTTGTACTTCTTTAAGACTAAATTAATAGGCACACCTGAACCTGGATTGTCCTATCTAATTCTCTCCTTGCAGGAAGCTCTAAAACACTATTCATTAGTCTTCGACGCAATTTACACACCGAAATTGACCAGGCTCTTAAGAGAAGCACAGGAGGCTGGAACCACCATTGTTTATGGGACAGAGATGTTCATCAACCAAGCATTCGTCCAGTTCAAAAGGTTCACTGGTTTGCCTGGTAAGATCAAGCTGACAAATAATTGAAATCTCACTCATGCTTTACTGCTTTTCTTTTTCCCATTGTGTTTATCTTATGCTTCACTGTTGCCATTGCAGCCCCAAAGCAACTCATTAGGGATGTGTTAGCAAGGAATACATAAAAGGAAATTTTTTCATTGATTTGTGTCCAATTTACAACAGCTGAATCTATGTTTTACAGACAAGTCATTTCAAATGTATTGAAAGCTTTCTTTTTTCCCCAAGCACTTGAAACCTTTCTGGCCCACTATTTCAACAAGAAACAAATTTTAAACGAATTTCATGATATGATATTGTTGCCTTTATCTTCAAAAACCTGAAATAATCCATGTCTAATAGGTTGAAGATAACATTTACCTTCGAAAAAAAAAAAGAAGGAAGAAGTACCATTGTTCCTGAAAATAACAAATTTTGAGTCCTACCATAACTTTATGTTCGGCGCTCAAACGAGAGGCTATGCTTGTTTGAATTGTTGCCGTTGGTTTGGCGATGGTTACAGAATCAATGGGTGACGCTAGACTGAATTTTGGACAGACTAATATTTTACCCCTGTAGATTCAGAAGTGTTTCAATTTGGACCCTATAGATTAGAACTTTCCAATATCAATCCTATAGCTTTATCCAAAACCAACCAAGAATTTTACGTTCAAACTTTTTTATTGGCATAACGATAGAAGATTTATTGTTGTGTGGACACTAAGGCACCACTATAATAATATTCTAGTTTTCATAGAAATCAACCCCACTGATGGGTATAATTAGACAATGGGATATATGGTGAGGGCATTCGCTATTCCGTGGTTTATCTAATCTCTGTTTCTTTTGTATCGTTCGGATTTGATCCAAATCATTTGACGAGAAAATTATAAACTAGTCCCTCTAGTTTTTCAAAATGAATTAAATAGTTTTTTTAGTTTCAAACATTAATTAATTAGTCCCTATGGTTTTAATTTTACTTGTAACACAATTCTTTGTTCTTTTCATTTTTTTAAGAAATGGAAAAAAATAAGAAAAATTGACGAGAAGATAAATTATTTTTAAAAAACAAATAAATACTAAATTTAACTTAATCAATCAAGAAACTAGCTAGTTAATTTTTGAAAAAAAAATATTTAATTTATTTTATAAAAATAGAGGTATTAATTTATAAGTTAAATCATTTGATGCATCCCGATTTATTTTTACACTCAAGGTCCACAATAGATTGCAAATTTTTTCTAAATTAATGCTTATCAAGGAGGCCTTTTGGTTTTATAGAATATTTTACAAATAAAAAATATTTTGCATGTATTTTTTTTTTTTTTTGTAAAAATAAAAACATAGAACAAATTTTTGATATTTGAATAGTAATAATATAAGACATATAGTGGCAATGGAATAATGATAATAATAGAGATGATGTGGCAAAGGTTACAAAATGATCCTGACGGTTATTGTAATGGGGATGGATTCCAACAATAATGATGATAATAGTGACGACATCAACAAGAAAAAGGTGGTGATTCATAACATAATGAATCTTCGATGTTTATGGTGATGGTATAAAATATGTTAAGGTGTTATTTGATTATCATGAATAAAAGATTCTGAATGAAAATGCAGAAATTAAAATAAAAATTAAGGAATCGAATGGTATTTATATTCTCATATTGTATTTGGAATACTAATAAAAAATCGAAATGCAATTTAAATTTTTTAATATCCGATTATTTGTACAAATAAAAATAATGATGGTAGTGGTGGCAATTGTGGTTGTGGCGGCGATTGTAGTTTTGGCGGCGGTGGTGGTCATTATTGTGGTGGTGATAAAAATAGTTAAAAGACAATAAATAGATAAAATATATTATTATTTTGAAAAAAAAATTTCATTCTCATTCCTTATTTTTATTCTCACATCTTAAATGGGAATGAAGTTATGTGTAATTTTCAATCCTATTTCTACTCTTCATTCTCATTCTCATTCTCATTTCGTTTTTTTTAACTAAATAGCTAAGCACATGGGAATAAAACTTTCATTCTTATTTCTATTACTCTATTTCGATTATCAAACAAGCATCTAAATGTATTGTCATTTGATTAGTATCTAAATATTCTACAAATTTATGAACTAGAATTATTCTCAAACAACAAAGTTTACATGTTAACTGTAAATTATTTTATTTTACGTTGATCTATTATGCAAAACAAACCCATAAAAAGTCAAGAAAATATTTTCCTCGAAAATATTTAGGCAAAACAAGGCCCAATAAATATTGAATTATTGCTTATAGTGGCCCAACTAATCATCATGCTCGTTGGAACCTTGGAGACATGACAATTCAACTAATTACAAATTGGGTTTTGAGACCTTCCCACATACGTAGTTATGGTTTAGAATCATGCATGAACCAACAAAATATTAGTCCGTAAATAATTCATGTGACTCTATTCTTAATTATCAAAAAGCAGTTAAAGGTATTGCCATTTGATTAATATCTAAATATTCTGTAAATTCATGAACTATAATTATTCTCAAACAACGAAGTTTACATATTAACTGTAAATTATTTTATTTTACGTTGACCTATTATGCAAACTAAACTCGTAAAAAATCGAGAAAATATTTATTTTAACAAAACAGCATCTAAATGTATTATCATTTGATTAGTATCTAAATATTCTGCAAATTTACAAACTATAATTATTCTCAAACAACGAAGTTTACATGTTAACTATAAATTATTTTATTTTATGCTGATCTATTATGCAAAACAAACCCAGAAAAAGTTGAGAAAATATTATCCTCGAAAATATTTTAGGCAAAACAAGGCCCAATAAATATATGGTTTGAATTGTTGCTTATAATGGCCAAACTAATCATCATGCCCTGGAGTACTGTAGACATGACAATTCAACTAATTATAAATTGGGCTTTGGGCTCTTCCCACAACCGAAGTTATGGTTTCGAATCATGCATGAAACAATAAAATATTAGTCCGAAAACAATTCTAATAACCTAGAAACTTTTTTTTTCTTATGGAAGGTATTTGGATTTTAGACTATACAATGAGATATAGTTCTCTCATGTTATATAATAATTAAATAAACTGAAATTACTAAAACTCAAATCTATCTTGTTCAAAAATTTTGTCAAATACATAACCTCTAGGCTTTGTTTTCGTGTTATTTTTATTTTTTTTTATTGTATTTTAATAAATAAGAGACATGAACTTGATATATTTTTACGGAGCACACAAAAAATTTGTGTTGTTTTGGTTTTTGTTGCTTTTCAATAGATGAAAGTCACGTAACTTGATACCTCTTTACGGAGCACACAAAAAATTATTGTACATGTCTGATCTATCATTAAGATTATGAACCAAACTCGTCCACGTTTTTTTTTTTTTTTTTTTTGTGATTATTACTCAATTCCATAATTATGACTCCGTTACTAAATATGCAAAGATTCACATTCTAAATGTGATTTACTTAATAAATTGTTTAGAAAAAAATAATTATTTGCAGTAGGTTTATTAGTTTCTTCCATGACCTTAGGTGATGGATGGGTAAAATTTATTGGAGCACATGAGTGCTAGTTGGAAAATTATTTTATGGAGCTGATCCACCAATTAAAGATCATGAATTAAACTAATAGAATATTTACAAATTATTAAATTTGTCCATATATTTTTTTTGATAAATGCATTATTAATTATTTCATATTATAGTTATAAATACTATTAAATGTAAAAAGATTTACATGCTAAACATAATAAACATATGATTAGGAAATTTTGATTATAAAGAGTATTGAGTCTAAATTATTAGCCTAATTAGACATGTGGAGCTTAATCATATTCTCGATCCAATCAATACTTATTACATGTTTTTTCCACTTTTAAAAGATTATTTGATTTTATATTTTTTTCCGTTATAAAATGATTGTTTGGTAAAAAAATTAATTATATATTTTCTTAAAAATATCTCTAATTAAACAATTAAGAATTGAATTTTTAAGAAACACAAATGAAAATGATAATATGGCATATTATTCAATAACATTCTCAATCTGTATAAGAAATTAATCAGCTTTTTTGATCATTAATAAATTTTTTTATCAAAATACCTCCGATTGAAAAAAAAACACTCAAAATACTTAAAATCAAATGACTTGTATATTTTTAAGTCTTTATTTATTTATTTATTTTTATATTTCAGCCATGAGCATTTCCATAAAAAAATCTATCTATGATTGAACAAATCAATTTAAATGACAAATTGAAAACTTAAGGCGCCGTTTGATAATCATAAATAAAGTGATGGGAATGAGAATGAAAATTTTATTCCCACGTTGTAACTATTTGGTTATAAGGAACGAAGTGAGAATAAAAACAAGGTATAAGAATAGATTTTTTTTTCAAAATAATAATATATTTTATTTATTGTTTGTTTATTAATTACTTTTACTACCATTACAACTACTACCGCCATTATAACCACCACCACCGCCATAACCATCACTACCAACACCATTGTCATAACCACCAGTCCATCACCACTACCATCATCTTTATTATTTTTATAATTATTATAGTTTAATAAAATTATTTTTTTAATCATTTTTTTATTTATATAAAAAAATTAAATATTAAAAAATTAAAATTGCATTATGATTCCTCATTAGTATGCCAAATATAGTACGAGAATATAAACATCATTCGGATTCCTACGAGTCTCATTTTGGACATTTCATTCCTTATAAACAAATGATACCTAAGCTTTATTTCAAGACATGATAAATATAATTAAAAACGTAAACATATATTGAAAACTCAAACTATTATAGAAGCACAAATTGACGTATTTACGCATCATCTACGTGGCATGTTTGAGAGTCGGGGTTAGACCTACCTATAAACCGCGCTTCGGCCCAATTTCTTTAAATTTGGGCCAAGCCCATTCAAAGTTGGATGAAATAAAAACTTAGGCCCAACCCATGAAAACCTCAAATTAGGGTTTGGCCTCTCTTCCACTGGTTTCAAGAAGCACTTTCTCCCTCTTGAAATCTAGACACTTCCATACCCGTTCAAAACACCCCTAATAAGTGGTACAAAAGTGACGCACCTTAATAAAAAATGCTAAGAGTGTAAAATACAAGACATTATTGGGGACAACCAAAAATTTCACAAAATCAGAGGGGCCTCTTGCTCTAACCTCTCTGACTCTGTCTTTCCTTGCTTCCTTCCCTTTCTCCCCCCAAAAATTTCACTCTTCCCGCTGTCTATTCCCTCTCCATTTCTCTAAAAAATTCAAAACACACACACATTTAAGTAAGTTCTTTTTATTTTTCTATTTTCTTGCCTTTCTCTTGCTCAACATCTTTTTTTTTCCCCTCTCTCTCACCCTTACAGAAATATATTCTGTGCTATCCTGCTAGGGTTTTGGCTCGGTTTCGGCTTTTTTTGAGCATTTTTGCATGCATGTTGCTGGGTTTTGGTTTGCAAGGTAAGTACTCACGTCGATCATTTGTGTTTTCAAGCTGAGATTTGTTATTTTGGTGCGATTTTGTTGGTTTTGAGAGCTAAATATTGATGGGTTTTGTGTAAATCTGTTTATATTATCTTTGTTTTTACTGAAATGGGTTTTTTTAGGTTTTTGAATACAGATTTCGGGTTTTTTTTTTGGCTTAATAAGCATTGTGCTTTTGAATTTCTTTTAGCTAGTGTTCTAAGACGTTATTGAGTGTTTATTGAATTTCTATTTCTAGTTTGTGGCAATTGGGAGTTTTTAGATTTAGAAATCTAGCTTGAAGAGAAAGTCATGTTTGGTGAGTCTGAAATGTGGTAATGGGTTGTTCTTTTTTTTGGGAGCTGGCAAATGGTTTTGATTTATTTTGTTATGTCTGGATGTGGGTTTCTGGTTTTGATTCTATTGTTTAAGCTCTCAGAGTCCCTTAGATTGCTGCTTTTATTTGCAGGGGGTTCTGGTGCTTTTGGTGTTGACCGACCAGTGCTTTCTGTTTAAGTTTGATTGCTATTTTGAAGAGCATTTTGTTGGTTCTTCAAATGGTAAGTGGCTTGCTATTCTTTGTTGTCAGTATACTTGTAATTAGTTGTTACTGGATGTGGATTTGGTGGAAATTTGGCCTAAATATGTTTGTTGGTATCAATGCAGCTTGAAGATTTTGGATGATAGTTGGAGGTTAGAAAGACAGGGCAAAAATTGTTGCCTAGTTCTTCTTTGTGTGTGACATTAGCAAGTGCATCTAATTTGGTGGTCTTGGATTTCAACCCAGCATGGAATGCAACAGAGATGAGGCCATCAGAGCAAAGGATATTGCAGATAGGAAAATGCAAAATGGTGACTTCCAAGGGGCAAGGAAGATTGCATTGAAGGCGCAGCAACTCTACCCTGAACTAGAGAATGTTTCCCAAATGTTGGCAGCCTGCGAGGTTCATTGTTCTGCACAAAACAAACTAAATGGGTCAGAAATGGATTGGTATGGAATTCTCCAGATTGAGCGCTTTTCTGATGAGGCAGTTATCAAGAAGCAATACAGAAAGTTTGCGCTCTTGCTTCATCCTGACAAGAACAAGTTTGCTGGTGCAGAGGCAGCTTTTAAGCTGATTGGCGAAGCAAATAGGGTGCTTACAGATCCAGCCAAGCGTTCTTTGTATGATATGAAGTGTAGAGGTCCCGTGAGACCTGCTGCTCCAAAGTCAACATCCCATCAGTCAAATCGGAACACAATTGGGAAGAAGCATCATGAGGCTAACAAGTTTCCTAGTGCTCCTAGTTCGCAGTACATGAGTGCACATCCTTACCAGCCACAGCGGCCCACATTCTGGACGTGCTGCTCCTCCTGTAATATGAGATACCAGTACTACAGAGAACTTCAGAACAAAACATTGCGCTGTCAAAATTGCCAGAGTTCTTTCATTGCTGTCGATTTGGGTATTCATGGTGTGCCGAATGGATCACCCTGGAGTCAATTCCCCAATCAGAATGGAGTTCCAAATCAAAGGCCCTCTAAAGTTGCTCCACAAAGTAACAACGGAAAGCCTTCTGGTGCTAGTTTTCCAGACAGGTTTAGACCAGTTGACATCAGTGGGAGTTCTAAACTGAATGAGGTGAAAGCAGGAAACATGAAAGACGGTGGTGGTTCTACACTGCCACAGAAAGCCAATGGGCATGTCAATGTGGGGGTACAAGCAAGGAAAGAAGGGGCTCCAATTAAACCCAAAGACTTGGGAAGTTCAAAGGATGCAAGCAGGAAGAGAGGAAAGCAGTCTCAAGTGGAACCTAGTGAGAGTTTTGAAACAGGAAGCAGTGATGACAGTGATGAAGATGCGGTTATTCAAGAAAAAGGCAGCAGTATTTTGGGACAGAATTCAGGATTTTGTGGAGGTAATCAACCTAGGAGATCTTCAAGGCAAAAGCAGAATGTTTCGTACAAGGAAAATTTAATTGATGATGATGATTTTACTGTCTCCCCACCAAAAAGACCAAGGGTGAATAGATCGACTAGCGGCATAAAAGAGGAGATGATGCACGATAAAGAGCATCCTTCAGCTGATGCAGTGGATAGAAACAAGAAAGAGACCAAGCAAAAGGCAAGTACAACTCTGGAAGAAAGCTTGCCAAATAAGAAAAGCAAAACTGAAGTGTGCAAGACGAAGGGGGAGGAAGCATCCATGTTGGGGAAAGCTGATGCACAATCAGATAATAAAGATGGAAAGCCCAAAGTTGATGACAGGTCTAACATGTTCTCAAATGAACCTCTAGCATCAAAGACCTTGGAAATCCCTGATCCAGATTTCAGTAATTTTGAGAATGACAAGGCAGAAAAGTGTTTTGCTGTTAATCAAGTGTGGGCTATTTATGATACGACAGATGGCATGCCTAGATTCTATGCTCAGGTCAAGAAAGTTCTCTCGCCTGGTTTCAAGCTGCAGATAACTTGGCTTGAGGCTAGCTCAGATGTCGCACATGAAAGAGATTGGTCTGACAACGATTTGCCTGTTGCATGTGGTAAGTTTGAAACTGGGGCCTCTCAAAAAACTGAAGATCATGGTATGTTCTCTCATCAGATGTGCTGTATAAACGGCAGAAGCAGAGGCAGTTATATGATATATCCTAAAAAGGGGGATACTTGGGCGCTCTTCAAGGATTGGGAAATGAAATGGAGTTCCGAACCAGAAAAACATAGACCACCTTACACATTTGAATTTGTGGAGGTCCTATCAGATTTTGATGAAAATTTTGGCATCGGGGTTGCTTATTTGCACAAAGTGCAAGGATTTGTCAGCATTTTTCAGCGAGCTGCTCATGATGGGGTTATCCAATTTTGCATTCCACCAACTGAGCTATACAAGTTTTCACACCGAATTCCTTCATTTAGAATGTCTGGCAAGGAAGGAGATGGTGTCCCTGCTGGGTCTTTTGAACTTGATCCTGCTGCTCTGCCAAGCAATCTTGGTGACCCCAGTGACACTAAGATGGAAAAGGAAAATGTTGATAATCAATCAACTAATCTGTTTTCTCAATCTCCCAAAAGTGAACTTAAATCCACAAATGGCTCCAAGAAGATTTGCACGCCTAAGAAAAATGAGAGGGGACAAGAAAGAGGGAGCTCATTCTTTGAAAAATCTCCAACAGGCACAAATGTAGTTGTTGCAGGGCTACGTGCAAAAACAAAGGGCGGTAGGAAGGTCATAGACCCGGGTGACGTTGCTCAGCCTGGAGGAATTAAGACCCCAAAGAAGCAGGATATGAGTGAACTTGCAGCAGATGCCTTGACACCTAGAAGATCTCCAAGGGATTTAAGCAAGAGAAATAGTCAAGTTAATGCTAGTCAGAGAACGACTAAGGCGGATACTGAAGAGAATACTGCAGCTAACAATGATATAAGCCTTGGGAAACCAAGTTTGTTGAGTCAGCCTGATGGTAAGATGCATGCGAAGGATGGTGGTTCAGTTGGTCTCATAATAAGTCCTATATCTTCAGGTCGTAAAGTTGTAGAACTAGAAGTAGATTGCTTTGATTTCGAGAGTGAAAAGTCAGAGGACAAGTTTCAGCTTGATCAAATATGGGCACTTCACAGCAATGAGGATGGGCTGCCCAGGATTTATGGTCAAATCAAGGCAATTGATTCTACCCCTAATTTCAGATTACATGTGGCAATGCTTGAACCGTGCTCGTCTCCAATAGATGCAAAGCGGCCTGTTTGTTGTGGGACATTTAAAGTTAAAACTGGTAAAACCAAGGTGCTCTCTGCTTCCAAATTTTCACATCTGTTGAAAGCTCAATCCATTGGGTACGGCAGGTATGATATTCACCCCAGAAAAGGCCAGATATGGGCACTGTATAAGAACTGGAATTCTGAGTCTACACGTTCAGATCAGAGCGTTGGTGAATCTGACATTGTTGAAGTGCTGGAAGTTAAGGATGGCAGTGTGGAAGTTGTAATTTTGATTCGTGCTAGAGTAAATGAAACTGCTAATAGAAACAAATGTTTTTACTGGGCTCCTAGAATCCAAAGATCAAGAACTGGGGTTCTGGATATACCAAGTGCTGAATTTTATAGATTTTCACATCAGTGTTCTGCTTTCAAGCACACGGGAAAGAAAGATAAGTGCCTAAGAAGCTACTGGGAGATTGATCCTTCATCAATCATTACTAATCCTGTAATTTTAGTAGACTGAATTGGCTAGTAGTGGATGTTAAAGCATCCTTTTTAATCCTTAGTGTATAGGATTACTGCCCAATTGTTTCCTGTGAGAAACTCTTAAGTGTAGTTGAAACTTGATGAACAATGCTCTCTTTTGCCTTATGTCTGGAACCAATCATCTTAACTGTTGGTTTTTGTTGTTTCCAGATATGTTGTAGGCTTGTAATGTAGTCTCTTTGATAAATGCTAATGAACTAGATATATGTTTCAGGCTATACGTGTTTTGTTTCCTTTAGATTCTTCTTGGCTTTTGAAGCATTGAAGAATTTAATTAGAAATGAAAGGCAATTGTTTAATCTGTGTAATTGCATAACGAACAGGTTTGATGCTATACTCTTGTACTTTGCTAATGAAGTCTCATCTTCTCGATTTATTTCTGTTGCTTCCAACTGCAAAATGAACCTGATTTGGTTCTCCTTTTGCTATGTATCGTTGGCTTTACACTGATCTATGAGCGGAACTTGGATCTGGCTTTCCTTCATGTAACTTCTTCGGAGTGTAATCAATCTTGGAAGATTAGCGTTTTTATGGTGATTTGCACCCATCTGATGTCATCCGGAAGTGCAGGGAGCACAATGAAAGAGCTACCGAACATTATGTTACGTTTTTGGCATGTTTTTCTGGGAGATTATGAAGGTTTATCAGAAGGGGAGGAGAACTTGCATGTCGTTGAGCACCTTCTGTGGACCTGCAGCTTTTGCTGTCAACTTTCAATTTGTAAATTTATGGACCCCAAAGGGGCAACATTCTCAACAAGTGGATGGAGAGGAAAAAGTTCAATGTGTTTGGTAGACCTACCGACCTTCAATAAATCGACGTACAAAACAATTGATTTTCGCTTACCTACTTTAACACATTTTTGCTCAGCGCTCATTCAAAGAGCAGATTGAATAGTTTTAACTCTTAAACATCACTTCAAATTATCCCAATTATCAAACACCAGCAAAAAGAAATATACCTCCATAGGTTCATGTGCACTACATTTGTCCGACAAAATGAAACAGGCTATATAATAAAAGTCTAATCATGGAGGGCATTTGGTCTAGTGGTATGATTCTCGCTTTGGGTGCGAGAGGTCCCGAGTTCGATTCTCGGAATGCCCCACTGACTTCAATTATTTTGAGTTTTCACATTTTCTCGGTCCTGGTAGCCAATCCCTGAGGCACAATTCACCTAGATGTTTCTGTCCTCGGCCAAGCAAACAGATAGGGGAAAGAAGAAGATCAACTCTATTTTAGCGCCTATAGAATATAGTTTTCAAAAAGTCAATGGTAGTTTTTTCACCCCTGTTAAACACCTAAGAAAAATTAACAGAGAACCCACATTTTCCCATCCTATTCTTATTTTTCTTGCACATTTCTGCCTCCAAAGGCTACCCTTCATGCATATAATGGCATGAGTAGAAATTTCTTCAACGAGATCAATTAATAACACAACATAAGAAAGGTTGACATCTAAATTATGTTTTTAAAAATGCCGGTTCGATTCTAGTTTGCGGGAATTTACTATCTTGATCCGCTTGGCTACATCTGTTCCTATCTTTGCTTCTTTTTTTTTTTTAAAAAAAAATTATATTAAATATCTTATAGTGAAAGAAATTCATTTAATATTGATAAAGAAAGGACGAAACTAATTATATATTTTTTTCATTTGTTTGTGCCAATGAAATTCTATTTAGAAAGTGAACCTTTTGTTAGTTGTTTAATAGTCTGAAGTAACATTTAGTCTAAAATTGAGAAAAATCTAAACTATAGTGGTTGAAGTGTTCAAGTGCTGAACTTTCAGGGGTAAATTAATTATTTAACCAAAAAAAATGGTCAACAAGGACACGTACAAAATAACAGGGGCATTCCGAGAATTGAACTCGGGACCTCTCGCACCCTAAGCGAGAATCATACCACTAGACCAAATGCCCAATCTTTTCTACTGTTTTACAAAGTAACTTTATTGATGAATATTAATCTTCAATGGACCATTCTCCTACTTTATCGATCGATGACCAGTGAAATCTGCAAGTTCTCATTCTCCCTCTCTCTCTCTCTCTCTCTCTGGAGGAATTCTTGGTCCTTCCTCACTATCCAGGTTTTCCTCTCTCCCCAATTTTTCTTGATAGTTCATACGCGTTTATCTTCAACGGTCCCTTTCTATGGTTCTCCTTCCTCTTATAACAACTCCTTTCAACTGTTTTAACTTAGTCGTGGTCACTGTTTTATTGCACCTCAACTGTTTGATAAAATGCCTACTAAATAGCAAACTCTACACCTTACATTTCTTTCTTCTTTCGTTTCATTTTCTAACACCCTTTTGAAATATAAACAGCTTCAACTGGTTGTTTCCTTGCTTATGTGCTAGATTCATGCGTTTCCATTTAGTGTTGTTTTGGTTAACAAGTGTTTCCTTTTGTTTTATATAGAGCAAGTGAACAGTTGAGTAGATTTTGTTGGGTGAGTGGAACTATGTTGAAGCAAGTGCTTGGAAAGGCTGTGAACAAAGGGGTTTTTGCTAATGAAGGAGATAAGCTAAGGCCTTCGTTGTATGTGCCTATTAATGGATTTCACAAGGGAAAGGTATGTCTTTTTGCTGTTAAATTTGTGTTTTTATAGATACTCATTTGGTACCTCTGTTGAATTTGTGTAAATATTTGGTTATATGTTAATCGTCATGGATGAATGGTATGATGGGCGTTATGCATTTGAAGGGACTAAGAAAAAGAAATGCGAGTCTTTTGATTTGTTTCGCTTTCGGTACCTTCTGTAACTCTCAAAACCATTAGTTAAGCGATCTCCTAGGTGTTGGTGGAGTGAGTGATTAGTAGATTGGGGTTTTTAGCCGATTGAAGCATTGAATTTAAGTTCCCAACCTAATTCCAATCCTCTTAATGGCCATCCATTGGTTTTGTCATGGTAATTGTGGTGCATTTGTGGTGAGGGATGGCCATACACGATGAGTCTTTGTTGTGGATATAGGTTTTCGTGAGAATTGTAATTACTGGAAGAAATTGAGGGAGTTGGGTTTTAATTGTGTCATTATCATTAGCTTTATTGTTGCGGCATATTGCATGTCAGTAGTGGAAAATGATGCAGCAGAGATGTTAGATGCCGGAGTGTTATTCATTGAATCTGGTTTTCTTGTGGGCGAGTAGAGAAAACAGCTTCATGAATAGAACAAGTAATATTCATAATCATACTTCTAAGTACTGTTGGTGTGACCATACGGTATGAGCCAGAATAAGAAGTTTTGTGACGGGTACAAAGTTTTCTGTCCATACACATTTAATTCAATTTGTGATGAAAAGAAGTCAGAAGCTTTACACTATGAACCATCTTTTGCCAAGGATTGAATAGGATGAGGTTTCATATGGATTGATTGAATAGGGATAAGGTTTCATATGGATCTATTTCTTTCTCATTCTCTTTCTGTGCGCTAAAATTTCAACCAATGTGTTTAAAAGTTCTTTGTGACTTGAAGAATAATACTGCTTGCTTACCACATTGGTAGACCTGACCAGTGACTGGTAATTACAACACCGTTCTTATTTTCTCTGAAAATCTTCCATAATCTGCCAAGACAGTTTCAGAAAGGTGACAATTGTTAGATGTCTCGGATAGGAAAGAATTCGCGATGTTTTGTACATTATGTTCTTACTGATAGGAGAATTCCTTCCTAATATTGCTTCCTTGCAGGTTCATTGTGCACCCAGAAGCTTTTTTGGGGTTGAAGATTTCCTTGATGACGATAACAGCAGGCCTTACACGTACCAGAAAGGGAAAAAGTCAAAGAACCCAAACAAGCATATATCATTTAAGCAGCGTACTGTAGCATACATGGAGCCATTTACACTTGATGTTTTTATTTCGAAGCGTTTTGTTTCAGCTTCAGTCACCCATAGGGTGACCAGTAAGCAGGTAGCAGTTGCTGGTACCAACTCTAAAGACATTAAAGCTGTGCTCAGGTCCCGCTCAGATATACCCGCATGTTTAGCCGTTGGGCGAATTTTAGCCGACAGAGCAAGAGAAGCTGATGTGTATACCGCCTCTTACACTCCGAGGGAGAGGGACAAGTTTGAAGGAAAGATCAGAGCAGTGGTTCAGTCTCTCATTGATAATGGGATTGATATTAAAGTTTATCTTGACTGATTCAGTCACATGTTTTCAATAGTACTTTTATTCGATTATTGGAAAATGGTGTTTGTAACTGTGTGAATATGAAGGATATAATCACCACAAATTTTGGCTTTGAGAACTAAAAGAATTAAGTGAATGTGCTGCATCTTGCACTTATTTCTCTACTGCTCTTGACAAGTGCTTACGTGTGAAATCTGGAGGCAATTATTCTTTCGTTGCTCAGTTTGCAACTCAATTGTAACTTAGTTTCTTAGTTTATAAAAATTTACAGTTATTTCTTTCATTTTAATTTTTTTATTTTTACTTATTTTTTTTTCACAGTATACCCTCTTATAAAATTTAACTTTTTGTATTTTGAGCTGGATTTTTTTACGTATGCTAATAAAGATCTAATCTACTTTAAAAAAAAACAATTTTATAACTTTTTGAGTTCAAAAAGTATTTTTTTTTATTTTTCTTAAACATTAACTATACACAATTGTAAATAAGTAATAATAATAATTTGGAATGATCCTAATTTTTGTGTTGGAGGTGCTAAAAAAATCACATTCTTTTATTTTATTCTTCTTAGTATGATTCTCAAAATATTTGTACATGTTAATTTTGAGAACTCACATGCAAATATTTCGAGAACTATCCTAAGAATAAACAAATAAATGTATGCGGTTTTTTTAGGAGAAATTTGTGATTATTCCAGACTATTATCTATTATTTTACAATTTTGTAAATATTTAATATTTTTAAAAATACTTTCTAATCTCAATCAATTTTGAAATTATTTTTGAAAGTAGATTGATTTTTTTTTTTATTAGCATATGCGAAAATTTCAACCCAAAATAAAAAAAAATAA